TTCTTCTTTCTTTCTTTCTTTTTCTTTCTTNTTCTGTCTTTCTTTTTGCTTTTTTAATCCTTATATTGAAAGAAGATTGATCTTTTCGGCAGTCCAATCGATAAAGATGAGCCGCGTGGCCTGAGTACCGATGTTTATTGACGTATCCAAGAGCTGAAACAGATACGTGACAGTCTGCCGGAGATCCAGGCCTCTGAAATATCTAATATCGAAGCCGTTCTTGCCGCATATCGGTCGGGAACGTTGGAGATAAAAGAGGGGATGGTGTCCTACTGGGCCCATGGCAGACAGGTGTCCGGTCTCAAGCCTCTCGATTACGACGATATAATCAAAGTGGGGAGTGAAAACGACGCCGATAAGTACTGCTTTTGGGTTGAAGATGTAAGCTCCTCCATTATTATTCACAGAGACCCCCTCTCAATTTATTCCTCTCTAATCTATGGTTCATGGCAATTACTCCGTACTTCGTAATTCCAGGCAGCAAGCAGGCGCTAAACCAGAAAGGGTGGCGCTAAACCTGATGGCGTAATTCACATGTAGGGCGATTAACAATAGTATACAGCAAGTCAGAACACTCTGTTCACCTTCCCGGGTAAAAAGAAAATACAGATCGAAGATCTATGCTTTATATTGTATTGAAACACATCCGAACTTAGATAGGACTCCGATCCGTATCGGCCGTGGAAGTTAGCTACCTTCCCGACCTTCTGTCGGATATTTTCGGAGAGCCTCCATTCAGTTACCTACCTAGGTAGGTAGTGGGATCTAGGTAGGTAGGTAAGCTGGCGAGCGAAACCGGCCCGGATAACTAGGGAGGTGGCTGAGTCGAAGTTCCAAAGATTAGGCTCAAAGGACAAGGGTACCTGGGTAGGAATTGCAAGACATGATCGGTCATGACTCATGACTCGACCCAGTCCAACGAATAGGGGAATGAGACTGATATCATGCCGTACATTGTAACAGCTCAAGAGGGAAAAGCGATAGTGGAAAAGAAAAAGGAGAAGGGAGAGGACGACAAAAAAGTAAAACATCATGTTGCCTTCTTGTAACCCTTGGTAACAGTAATAATATCGTAGTGATACCTCGAAAGCATGCCACAAACGATCGTAGGAGATAGATATAGTAAGGTAATACGGAGTTTACTAGGCTAGGCATCTATATACAATTCATCCATCAACACTCTGACATGATGTTAGATATCTATCGAAAAAAGATAGAGAAAGAAAAAAAAGAACTGATGATAATTATGTCATGGAAGCAGGAAATTAATTAAGAGACCAACCGGTCATGCAGATAGAAGATCGAGAAACTTTTTATTTTTCCTTTCTATCGATGAAACCAAATTCAAAACAGACCCCAGTGTAGTGTCTATCCTCCCTTTCTTCCAAGGAAAAAATCCTGTAAAGCACGTGTCAGAATTATAGATAAGAGCATTTGTCGCCAATTAACGGAGAATGATCGGTCGTGTCACGGAAAGATTGTCGTTGTGTCCGAGATAGCGGTACTACCGGGACACAACTTGCAGGGAATCGCGCAGCGACATTCCTCAAGCTCCATAGATGCACTATATTCGCGACGAGATTTCGGGAAGCTGTCAAGCAATAGTATAGCAGGTCTATCGGTTCTGTAGAAGTCGAGCGGAGTGAATAACAAGATGTCCGTCATGACTCAGTCGAGAGGATGAACCGTTGGCAATTAGACTTTTCCTTCCTGACCATGGAGAAGGGTAAAAACAGGGGCCGGAAGCTTTTCCCGGCCCTTGAGAAAGTCGAGCTCGAGTATAAAGACATAACCCAGAAGGGTGGCCCCCAGTTTCTGGACGAGTAACCCTGCAGCTGCTGCCGAGCCACCTGTTGACATTGTTCCTGTCAGTGATTGATCCGATCATCTAGGCCGTCTGACCTCTTTCCCCACACAAGATCATGCTGGGTATCACAAAAGTCGCGGAGGGTGGAAAAAAAGAAGGCGGGGAGGGGGGTAGGTAGTACCTGTCGCGATGATGTCGTCCACTACCACCACCTTTTGCCCCTTCTTCAACGCATCCGCCTGAATCTGGAAGTAGTCCTCTCCGTATTCCTTCTCGTACGACTGTGTCACACAGGGCCCAGGCAGCTTCCCCTTCTTGCGAACGGGCACAAAGCTGGCGCCCAGCCTCAAAGCCAGACTGGGTCCGAAGAGGAAGCCCCGGGCCTCGAGACCGACAATGACGTCTGGGGTCTGGCCGTAGGTCTCGACAATGTGCAGCTCAAGGGACCGGATGAGGGCCTCATGCAGGGTGGGATCCGCGAAGATGGGCAAGATATCCTCGAACAGGATTCCGGGAGAGGGGAAGTCCGGAAACTGGCGCAGCGCAGCGCGGAGTCTTATCTTAAGACTGGCGAGTTCGGCGGTGCGGGGGGGATTGGTGGGGGGCTGTCGGGAGACTTGGGCGGCTGTGGCATCTGGTATATCTTCAGGAGGGTGTTGAGAAGTTTGAGGTGGACATGCTGAAGATAGAAGGAGGGGAGAATAGAGGGAGAGAAGAAAAAATAAGGAAAGGAAGGGAGAGCAGACAATGAGCAGGTGAGGAGGAGGGGGAGACCGAAAAAAAAAGACCAGTCAGGCGGTGATCTGATCCGATGTAATGAATCGAGTAATAATACCTGTCTTTCGTTACAGACACGAGCTGCAGAGGGAGGGAAAAAGACAGGGCAGGGTTTAGTTAACGAACTAGGTAGGTAGTTGGGTTCGATAACGTATCGCACAGCACGCCATAGCTCTATTCTTACTAACTCTAACTAAACTCGTCCACCGCCAGGCAGGGTTTTTGCACTGCGCACGCCAGAGCACAACGTGCCTCGACGCAACTCTCTCGGGCCCCGCAGCGACAAATCAGCGTCACAGCTCATGCTGGCCTCGAGTCGATTTGTTATCATCTTCTCGGACCGCAGACCCGCGCAGGGCCTTAGCAGATGCCGCCAGCGCTTGCTCTCAGCCATCCATCCCGATTCCCACCCGTCCCTCTGTTATGGCTCGGCCGGATCCAGATTCGGATTTGCATAACCAGGTAGCTAAGTCGATTCGGGATCGACCCGTTCTGTGCTTTCTCATCCCGGTCGGGGACAGTCTAGAATTCGTCCAAGGTTCGCTCACTGATGGGTCTCCCGTCTGACCTTGCCGTCCTTGCGCTCGATGAGTTAGTCGTCTATGGGTCCAGGAGCTCTGCGTGGCGTAGCGGCAGTTGAACACTTTGCAGTGGGATGGATCAAGGCTGAATGCCCAATATCATTCAGACAGATTTGATGTCTTTCGCCTAGACTTCGTGGCAACGCAAGGTCCTTCAGAGTTGTTACCCTCGTACGGCGCCTGCAAGGAAGAGTAAGAAGGCATCGCCCAGTTCAAGTTATCTAGGAATATTAGTTCTTGTCTGGAACGAAGAATGGATAACGGTATTAACCCTCAGCTATCTGGAAAACAGAAGGCCAACCTAGATAGTACCATAGGGAAGTCACTGATGCCATTGACATCGAAAAGACAAATCAGAAAGGATATACGAACTTGGAGGTTAGCAAGTAACAGACAATAGGTTGATACTAAGACAGTGCTCCACGCAGGCTGCACGCAGCAACCTGCTGTACGCTAGGTCTCACTACTGCTGCCCCGCTGCTGCAGGAAGCTATCTAGTCTATCCCTGCGGAAAAATACAAATACCTTGAGTTCAAGGTATTGCCCCTCCATACCCATCCCGAACAACCCGACACCAGTTCACAGTGTACTGAGTATCCTGCACTTGTTCATATGGTAGACCTAGTTGCATAAAAGTACCGGGTCAATGCAATGATATCTCTTAAAGTAAATGACAGGATAACTACATACATCTATTCTTCAGGGATGAACTTCCTCATCACACTGTCCACCCAGTCCTTAGGCAATCCTAGTCCAACGGACTCCCTGATCGCGCGATTCATCCGAGCAATATATTCGGTCTTGGGGGGCCCTACGTAAACACGTTTTTCGTCGACATAGACCAGAACGGTGACGGTTTTGGTCTCTTTCCGGTCGTCAAGCCATTTCACGATAGTCGCAGGCACATACCACTTGTTGTAAGCCCCCTCCCCTTGCTCTCTGGGTCGGATCTTGCGATCGACTTCCCCGTGAAGAGAGCTTTCGGGAGCATCATCGTCGACGCACTCGTAACCATCAAGCAGATATTCGTCTTCGGGCGTCATGTCGTACAAAATGCCAAATACTGCATCCTCCTCGCCTGACAGAGGCACTTTCTCCCCGTCAGATTTCTGTCGACCAACCCGCAGCCCTTCCGGTGGGACGACGTTTGCGTACCCTCTCTGGCAGATGAGCCATCGCCATCCGTCCAGACGGGCCACCGCGAGAGGTTTGCCTGATTTTTCGGGGTCGTGTCGGCAGCGTTGCTTCATCTGACTGTAGGAGAGATTGGAACCGTACGCAAAATATAATGGTCGCTGTATTGTAGAGGGAGTGCTCTCAGAAGCATCATCCAGTGCATCCTGAGCCACAGTTCTGGCATTTGCAGCTGCTGTAGCTGCTGTCGTCGCGTTGACGCCGTCTTGTCCTGTGACAGAGGAGATTGCTGACGCTGTTCCGTCAGGCATTCTGTAGAGCTCCAAGCCAAATCTTCTCCTAATCTCTGCTGCAACGGGTTTGGCCAAAATCTGATCGCCTACCCCACACGCAGTGGAATGAATTCAAGATTGAGGAATGTCTTCTATGAGATTGGAGAGGAGGAACAAAGAGAGGGCGTGAATTGGGAAAGTACAGTGCTGTAATGGCAATACCGTACCCGTCAATGGTCCGCTGAATTAGGCAGCCTGGTGGTAATTTAGGACTGTACGAGTAATACCCCGCAAGAGAAGGCGTGAGGGGTTGCTGGCCATGCCTGTATGGCGCCTACGGGATTACCTGCAGTAGTATCTAGGTACCTATGTGTATGACCCATATATTTGTGCTGCTGTTTTACTGCTTAGCGTAAATCACTTGACTGTCAATTGTTTTTTTTTCTTGAAAATACACCCTTCCCTTTTTATATATATACATGAAGGATCATATAATATACAGATTGGTGATGGGCACACCCTGCGAGCGCATCATGTATCGTCGCTTGATGCCCACGCCTGTTGAACTCCGCAGTAGCGCGTAGGTATCATCTCCCCCACCGACCATGACCATACTGATCGGATTGCGTCGTGAGACGCCACCTGAAGTGACTTGGGTCTCGTCTAGATGAGGACGCACCAAAAACGGCTCTGCCAGTATGGCGGCAGCAGGATAGAGCGGGGAGGTGGGAGGGGCAGTCGATACAAAGGATCGCTGCTTCATGTTCAGGTCTTTGCCTGATTTGCTCGCGGCGGCTATCTCTTCAGATTCCTCATACGAGACAACAATGACGAACTGAAGGGCGGAGCCCGAAGACGGATATGCCGGTATATTCCTTAACTTCTGGGAGAAGGTGCAACCACCACGTTTGATGACCAGCACCTGGTAATTGCGTACCACCTCAAGCGGAAGCCGGTAGTCGCATATCTCATCAGCTAGGTAGATGCTTGACCATGTCAAGCGCTCCAAGGAGGGTTTGCCCAAATATCCAAAAATGGACGCCTCCTCAACATCAGGAAGCGGCGCAGAGCCTGGACCAACTGAAGTGATCGCTGGAAGGGAAACTCGGGCAGGTTTATCCTTAGACTGCGAGAGTCCCAGCGCTGAGGGCTGGACATCATCACGGAGAATGGAGGATACGTGGTTCATCAGCGCCGAGAGTGCCGTTTTCATGTTGGAACCATGTGAGTACGCACTGCCAAGTTTGTCATCTGAAGAGCCAAGCGAGGTGTGCTCGTGGATAAGGGGTTCTCGTCGTTCAGTTGCAGCATGGTCCGAGGACGCACTTGTACGATTTCCTCTGTTGAAGAGCTCTGGCTCAACGTCGATGACAATATCCAACATGACAGGATCGCGGATACGAGTGAAGTTCGGGTCGCTAGGATTTAGAACATCAAATGTAATCTCGCGCGATAGATATACCCTCTCATCCCTGCCGAGTGGCAAATTGTTGACCACTTGGATTCGAAAACCCTCTGCGTACGAGGATGACGAGACTTCCAGAGGCACATCCTGGACCATCCCTAATCTCAGTCCCCCGATGGCTTTGACCAAAACCCCGTCCCGTACACGTTCCAGAGACCCTAGTCCGAGGACCATGCCGGGCAGATTAGGGAAGGAAATGTCCAAGGTAGGACGGATGGCCATGGGCGAACTCGTCGCGTTGAATGGCACCAACTCTGGGGGCAATGTCCATGGGTAGAAGGTGTAGTTGGAGGGCGAAAACAGATCAGACAGTGTGACACTTGGATGATCGGCAGCGTATTCGAGTATGGCACCTTCCGCTTCGCCTCGACTTGGCATCAAGTGCAACCGTGCCAGGCTTGCAGCATGGAAGATGTCTGAGCGTGCTGCAGTCGAAGAAACACCGAGGGGAGGAGAAGGAGGAGCGGTCTGGCACACTCCAGTAACCAAGGGTTCTGCGACTGACTGCTCCGTTTTCTGGCGGTGAAAGCCTCCCCTTGGCCCATTCTTCGGAAGAATGAGAGGGTGTCCCTCAGTCGAAAAAACCCAGGGTGCATCAAGATTGTTGAGAGGATGGGCCGGATCATACAGGAGGAACATATACTTGGCTGTTTCTCCTAGGAAAAAGCTTTCCATACGATCATTCAGCTCACCGCTCCGAACATCCTGGAGACCAGCCCAGCCACATCTAGTCCAACATCGCCGTTTGATATCCCTGAGGACCATCTCACCCACGTGGAGATACCAGGGATCTTTGGTGGCTCGATACAAATAGTAGGTCGACTCGATGAATTCGGGCCGTCCACCCCACCATCCAAGGCCGTTGTCCACGTTTCCAGTGGCAACGTTCCATCGTTCTGGAAGGGCAGAAAAGCGCGTCCACACAGCGGTGGCCAGCAGGTGGATTTCAGTGGCCTCCTCAATGTCTCCAGCTAGGGTGAGAAGACCCGGATAGTAAGCACTGAGACTATCAATCCAGAAGGCTCTCGTGGCGCCAGTATAAATGTCCCCCTGTACGAAATGAGGATGCTGGTACCCGGGTCCACGATAAAGATGACGGTTAATCGAAGCGTGGGCATCCTGCCAGACCTTAAGAAAGGCCTCAGCAGAGTGATGCTCCTCACTGAGGGGCAGGTAATAATTGTCCAAAGCACTCCAGGGACTGTGAGGATCAAAACCAGGGCGCTCTCCAGATGATAGGAGAATATAGGACTTGAAAGCGTATTCAAAGAAGCTGTCAATTCCCGCACCAATCTGTGGATGTCCTCAGACGTTAACTCAAACTGCCACTGTCACCTTCAGATCTTGGAAGGAGGGGATAGGGAACGTACCCCGGTGTATGGAGTTACCCATTTTCCCGTCTCTGCGTCAATGCCAGCCCCGATCAAGCCAATCTCGCTTCTTCTAAACCAGACAGCCCAAAAGGCTCGCTTCGCAAGCTCTTCGTAGCGACCGTCACCAGTTAGTCTACTTAAGGTGGTGAATTCCAAAACAAGACTGCCAGCGCCAGCGCTGCATGTCTCTGTGATCTCCGGCTCGGACTGGGGACCCATTGCGTCGGATTCGGTGTTCTCATTTCCATGCTGAGTGCCCGCATTGAGAGGGGAATTCGGATAGAACGGGATACCATATCGGAGATTCACGCGGGGATAAGGAAGTCCGGTTTTTGTGTAGAAGGCCGGAAGGATGCGATCAGCTAGATCGCGCGCAAGTCTGAGGAGCTGACCGTCGTAGACGAACCCGTTCTCCCATACGATTCCGTGACGACCTGGCGGGAAATTGCTCTTGTCCCACGATTTCGCAAAGGCAGCTTCTTCGTCTGGAGGAGAGTAGCCTCGAATGGGGAGATCGCCCACAGCAAAAAGATGGGCACTGAGGAGACCACCTGCGACACGCCCATTGCGCTGTCAGCCCATGGTACCGTTGTATTGTGCCTCCTGCAGCAGTGGTTCACTCGCACCTAAACCTCGTATAACAGTTTCAAAAACCTGGACCTTGCTATCCATGTCGAATCCCCGTGCTCTCTCCCCTTGCCCAGAAGGGCCGTCCGAGCCATCGCCATACAGTCTCACCAGGTCCTTCACGCCATCCTGGAAACGTCTCCAAGCTCTTGAGCCACTGTTGTCACCGGAGGACAAAATCGCGAGGGTGGACAAGCTGTCAATCAATGTGAGCGAATAGTTCCCCAGGACATCGTTCAGCTCGATATGTTCCGGATGTTCGCGATCACGCGTCAAAGGACCGCACGAGAGAGGACGGAGCTCATCTTCAGGAAAAGCATATTTCATATAATTGTCGAAGCCATGGTAGAACATGTGTTCAGACTCTTTCCTATATCAAAAAATGCGCTTGCGCGTCAGTCGTTGAATCCAGCATCGGCAATTGATCTTTCTCAGGAGATTGGAGAGGCCGCATGAGGAGTAATGGCAGCAATTGATAAATACCTGAGCTCCCGAATTTGGCTTTCTCTCATGGCCTGGACCTGGACAAGCCATATCGACAGCAGCAAGACCCAAGTCAGCCATGTTGATGGCAGGCCAGGCATCTGCGGGCACCGGCATCGCGTGCGCATCACCGGAGAGAGAGATGTAAATCATATGGCTTTCCAATACTCTATCCAATACTCATGGGAACGTCGCGCACTACTGTAAGGAATGGCTGTGAAGCCTCGAGGAAGAAAAAGAAAAAGGGAATATGAAAAATTTCCGGTTGAAGTGTGTAGCGACGTGAAATTATTGGGTCGCGTGGTACTCGTGGTCAAAACGAGTTTGCGAGCGACCAAGAAGCTAACTTCGGCGTAACATTCGACTAGCAATTCTGGCCACGTTATTAAAATACCGTTCGGTGACTAAGCTCCCACCGCTTTACCCCCGCAATAAAGACCCTGTGATGCCCCCACGCTCTCTCTGATCGTCAGGATTTCCAGATCTACAATAATAATAGCCCATCAGTTGCAGGTATGAGAAATAGGGTTTTAGCATATTTGCTAGCCGCAGTGACGCAAGGAAACGGAAGTTCCTTGTACTGATTAGACGCATAGAAAGAGGAGAAAGATCAAGGCATATTTCCAACGGATATGTATATACTGGTTAGTAGTGTCTCTTGCAGATATTGCAAAGATCACATTATCCTTGACTGTGGGGCTAGATTTGTGGTATGATCTAGATGTTCATCTCAGTTCAGTCGACGAGGATCTCGCCCCGCAGTGATCTATATATATATATGCCTTGCCATTCTTGACCTTGATCTACGCATCTACCTATGTTGTTCAGCTGCACCTTGCCATTGGTGCTCTTAGAGCCACAGAAGAGCAGCCAGCTCTTGCCGATAACAGTATCAAAGATATAGCTCTTATATTTTGTTCTCCGTCTAAGTCGGGGCCTGCTTCTCCATTAAAGCGGCGGTACCTGGAAAGACGAAACTTCAGAGCCGGGCAGAAAATGTTCTGTATACAGACATATACCCTTCCAGTTTATATCAGCGCATACCTACCCAATGTCTATGGTTAACTACGTTAATTACTTGCATAGATCCTCATCGCGCCACAAATCAGGACGCGCATGTCACCTAAATGTTTTGTAAAGCTGTTCTGAAAATATATCCATTGATGCAAAATTCAACTGAGTTTTGCCGGTAATAAAAGAGAGAACAAAAGCGCAAAAACACAAAAAAAGCTCGATCTGGGTATGTCAACTATAACGCTCAAGGTATCAAAACGCCATGCCTTGTGATAACTCCTTATCACACAGATGGAATGTAGCTAGTCCCAACTCCAGCATGCAAACCCCACCCAACAAAAAAAATCGACTAGAAGATATATATCCCAATGCGGTGCGCCATTTGTGAAGAAAAAAAAGAAATAATAGTCTTGAAAAGAGCACTGCCAAGACAATCGATCTATCGAGGTGAATCGTGTCTTGATGGGTAAGAGCCTGGAGCCGTAGATCTCGGCTGCGCATCAATAACATAATCCACTCCATTATCAGAGGCGTAACTTGGGGGACGGGTGGCAGTAGACGGCCTGCGCTGCTCACTCTCGTTCCGATTTGACATCTTGGACTCATCGACTCGTTGCCAGAAGATCAGGTCGGGGTTTATCCTCTGCAAGTTTCCTTGTTAACACAGATACCGAAAGAAAGGATAGAAATAGCATCGACATAAACTCGGCTAGTTCCATGGAGGACATGTGCCGCATAAGCAGGACACTTACCACACTGCCTCGCCAAAGACCGTATGCTGGTGGAGGAGGAAGCACCTTCCCGGCTTCCTGGTCCCCTGCCATTATCTCTTCATCACGAGCGAGGATGACAGGAATAGGGCGTTCTGGCTGCGCATAGCCCAGCGGACCAACCGTACTGGGCACCCGGTTTAGAGAGGATCCATGTTTTGCAACACGCGTCGCCAGCATACAAGTGCGAACGAGTGAGTGGCAGAAAAATATTGTGAAAATCATAATCAGGAGAATCAACAATATGTGGAACTCCTGTTCTTCAACCGAGGTGGATGATACGGCAAATCCCAGGTCTGCACAGTAGGTCACAAAGTCCGAGTTAGCATGTCCTATGTCAGGTTGGAGAAAAGGAATCTCGTACAGATTGCCACCACTATTACAAGTAAGAGTCCTGATATAATGCATGACACAAAATTCTTCCGGACGACTTTGTCCTTCAGGGCAGTCCGATACGACGTCCCGCCAACACATGGATGTTTCCTCCGCGGTCTTCGGACCCAAGCTCCGATATAATGTGTGCGACGACTGGATGAAGGCAGTGATGTGGAGGAATTTTCTGGTGAAATAGGAGCAGGAACAGTGTCTCCTTGTGCTGAAGAGGGGGATGGTCTATGTTGCACTGTAGCCACGTTCCCTGGAAGGGCTGGGCCTTCATCCCGGGACCCGCGAAATCGAAAACCTCGACGATTCTTGTTTCTCGACGCCGGATGTTCTTCGATGGGAGGGGTTCCATCGAGGACCTGTGACCGACCGTTGCTCCTAAATAATGACGAGATCTGTGTGCGGAGACCACCGAGCCGAGACCTGCCTTCCGCAACTTGCGGAGATGAGAGAGGAGGCTCCATATCGTATACGGTCGTCAATTGGACAGTGACATCTGGAAAGCGATTGGAAGCATAGAATGACTCTCACTGGAAGCACCGGAGGCGAAGGATATTCGTATTTATAGCTGAGAACCGGGACGTGCGGGGAGCAGCAACACGCAGTGGTAGATATTGGGTAGAGGGGAATTATGGTCAGATAGTCGACGGCAAGTCAAGACTCAAACATGCAGGAAACGAATGACTGGGCGCAAGGCATTGGCTGAGAGTGTTCCGAAAGAGAGCACTGCTGCTGGATTCGGGTAGCGAAGAGGCAGAGAAAAGGAAAAGGAGACGAGAGAGAGATGCAGACTTCGACTGTCCAGCAGTTCGAGGCGTTCTTTGTGGCGGGCGAGCGAATGAGTTGTCTACAATGAAAGCAAAGAAGTCCGTGGGATCCCAGGAGCTTATCAGGGAGGAGTTCGCATTATTGCTCAAGGACCAAGGAACCAAGCTGCGGGTATCGGGCCTGGGACCCGTCACCCAGCCTGCGACACAACCGGCGTGCACGATTGGAGTCTGGAGGCAAGCTTTGGGTAACTAAGTTAGGCTGCGTGGATCCGTCATCCGTGGCACTAACCAGGAGCGAGCATGATAGATCCTGCAGGGAGCAGGGAACGGCTTGCATCTCAAGATCTTACGCTCGGGACAAAGGGAGACAGTTACGAGCGATCTGCTATTCTGTGCCAGGCTTGGCAACCAGAGATGCGTTCCTCTTGGAGGTTCTGACACAGGCCGTTGGTGCTGTCAGAACCAGGAGACGCTACTGTTTCGGAGTTGCGGCACCAGCTGCCGTGCACTGGCCAATAATGGCCGCCATTGTTGAGTGACTCGAGTCTTCCTGAGGGACGAAGCCAAGATTGATGTGATCAATCTTCCATTCTAGGGAGGGGATCCTTGCAGCCTGTATCGCAGATGCTCCATCTTTGCCAACGGAAGAGGATGAAGGAGAAGAAGAAAAAAATGATCCTAAGTTGTGTAGTAATGTTACTGTGTGCAGACACCCCCCTTTTACTACTCGTACATTTAGCGCTAGTAAAAACTCGAGAATTGCATCGCATAATCCTCCTGCAGACAGTCAATCTGAATTGTCAGAAGATGCAGGACGTCGGAGCCACAGCTGCTGCGAGAAACTTTATCACATAGCCCGTATCCGTGTTCTCTCAAGGCCTCTTCCTCGTCGGCGTCAATCATGTTGCTGGACGGAGGTGCCTTTGTCTGGCAGCTCCTCGCCAGGATACCAGTCGTGGAAGGTGCCATTGTCTCCTGTGTCAGCCTGCTACCAGCCGACCCAGGGTCATATCAATGCTGTGCGGGGAAGAAACACTAAAGCGATTGGAACTGAGACCCTTTTAGACGTGACTACTTTCCGAGTTCACCCAGCATGATATTCCGATCAGACGAGCCAGAAACAACTACAGATCAGTTAGCAAAAGATCCATGACAAGATGAAGTGTGTTCACTCACTAATAGGCTCATCATTGGGGGAGAATCGGACGTCGTTGACAGTGCCCTTGTGGCCGGGAAGCTTGTAAAGGAGCTTCCCGGTCTTGACCTCCCAGACGACAACACTTCTGTCGCCGCTCCCCGCAGCAATCTTTTCACCCTTTGGATCCCAGCTGGCGCGAATGAGGTTCTTCTCCAGCCCAACAGGGGCACCGTCATATGTCCTGATGTGACGATTCGTAGGCGCAAAAGGACGAATATCCCAAGTTCGGACTGTCGAGTCATGGGAGTTCGAAAGTAGCATCTGCGAATCAGGGGAGACCTGTAGGGATGATATTGTATCGGTGTGCCCAACTAACGTGTACACCACGGCCTTCTTGCGTATGTCCCAGACTTTGATATCGTTATCGATGCTTCCGCTATATATCTCGTTCCCGGCCTCAGACATAGCTATGGCGGTAATCGGAAACTCGGTCTCGAGAAAGTCAAGCGCCTCCTTTTGTCGCGGGTCCCAGATGCCGATATAACCATCGTCACTCCCGCTAACCAACAGCTCTTGACCTCTCTTGCTGATGTCCAGACAGTTAATGATCTCTTCATGGCCCATGTGTCGACGGATCCGTTGGCCAGTTTCCAAATCCCAACTTGCGAGCGTCATGTCGGCTGATGCTGAGAAGATCACCCGCGAGTCTCGCGACCATTGCAGATCAAGGACTGCTCCCTTGTGGCCTGTCAGAATGCCATAATTTTCGCACTGCCCGTAAGTCCGCCAGAGCACTGGGAGAGGCAACGCAGTCAGAAAACTTCGATCTTCAAAGTGAGTGTGGTGTGCAGGGAAACATACGGATATTTCGATCCATCGAGCCTGATGCGATATTCTGCGCCGTCGGATCAAATCGAGTCGCAAATACCTCACCCGAGTGACCTTTCCAGCTATGTATCAGCTTTTGCATCATAAACATAGGACAACCAAAGCTCACCTGAGAGCTCCATGATCGGAGCCGCAAGTCCACTGGTACGGGGAATCTACAAAGTAGCCACCATCAGTAAAACGCTGACTTGAAGGGCATGGCGGATACAACAAAAAAAGGCCCAATTCAGAGAAAGGTATGCGACATACAGCCTGCACGAGCGCGCCATTTTGGGCAGACCTCACTGTAACAGCATTCGCATTGAGGTTGCTGTCTGATTTTTGCCGTTTGACCACGAGCTGATTTGACGAACCGAATGCGTCCGGAGCAGGGCGTTTCTCTCCCGACATGATCGCAGCATACAATATGAAGACCTCCAACCAATCTGTGAGGAAAAGAAAAGAAAAGGGAGAATGTCTTCGTTTGGCGGAGGAGGAACCAAACCCGAAAGATGGGATCGCCGGACGTTCTGGCGGACCAAACTGGCAAAGCTTCTGGTGGTGGGTTGACCGTAAGCGCGGGAAGCCAATGTGCAAAAGCTAGACGCGCTAAACGCGGTGCGGCGGCTACTTGGCCCAATTTGCCCAAATAAAGCCACAGCGAGCTGAAACTCCGCTCGGAGGCTCCGGAGCGTTCGCACATCTTAGACGTGGGGTTGCAGTAGTTGCCGACAATACTATACAGAGTGCAATTATACTACTCCCGTCTCCCCAGGCCAGACATATCAGCGCAAGCTACTCTGTGACTTGGACGCCTCTCTGGGAGACACACCTGCTGCAGCCATGTCTACCGCAACCAAGGCGTCCCGAATAGGGGAAGAGTGAGTTTGTCCCACCTGCATTTCCTTTAATAACCTGCACTAACCACTTCATGGCCAGGATCTGGAAGTCAGTAAGCTGATTAACCCAACGGTCACCCGTGTCTCTGACTGGCAACTGCTCTATCTCGTTCTTGCTTCGGAAGACGACCCGAGGCTGACCTTAGACGACTTAGGACGAAAGTTGACAAGGTCAACGCTGAATTAGTGACTCTCACTTATGGCACACTCGTCGCACAGCTCTGTCAAGACTACGATGGGAACTACCATGAAGTCAATAAGCAGCTGGATAAGATGGGATACAATATCGGCATGAGATTGATTGAAGACTTTCTGGCTAAGTCGAATACGGGCCGATGCGCCAACTTCCGCGAGACGGCGGATGTGATCTCGAAGGTATGCCCAGTCTTCGATAGGAGCTGCCACCACCACCGTGGGTGTGACCGCCACTGACTGGCTACAATGCTGGATAGGTGGGGTTCAAGATCTTTCTAAACATTACCCCGACGGTCACCAATTGGACCAGCGACAACAAACAATTCTCCCTCGTCTTGGAGGAGAACCCACTGGCCGACTTTGTCGAACTCCCGGATGATGGTCGGGCACAGGATGAGCTTTGGTTCTCGAATATCCTGTGTGGAGTGCTACGAGGGGCGCTTGAGATGGTAAGTGGGATCCTGCGATCTGCCCTTTGCTGCTCTCTATAAAATATACCTCCATGGACATGCTCTGACCAATCTTTCTGTGTAGGTTCAAATGCAGGTCGAAGCCCATTTTGTCAGTGACGTGCTGCGGGGCGATGACACCACTGAAATTCGGGTATCGCTGGTCAGATATATCGAGGACGAGATGCCCCCGGACGATGAATAATAGTACAGCACATCGACGGCGCAACATGATGTTCTCTATTTTGGATGGTCCGGGGCGTCTGGCGTTGTAGACAAGGCGGTCATTCCGTGAGCTTGTTGCAATTCTTCATCTGATAAACTAACGCATGCTTGTATTTGGTAATGGAATGTGGCATGGTGGTTTTTTTTTTGCCCGGGGGAGAATGAGGTCTTTGTCGAAAGATCCCTGCTCGGAAATGCTGGGATTGCGCATCTAGATGATAGCATCGATTTTCTCCTACTTGGTACATCAGAGCATTCCAGGGACTGCTCCAGCCGCACTGGGGAGCTGTGTTATCATCGCGCTGTAGGGTTGTACAGGTCTGCTCTATAGACACCGCGGAGGGGTCCCACGTGATACGCTATTCCCGAGAGGGAAGCGGCGCCCCACCCGGGACCAGCCGTGCTGAAGAGTGCGCGTGAGATGGCGGTGTCGAGACTCGGCCCCTCGTCGCGCATCGACCTGTCAAAGATCTTGCCCGTCTCTTCTCTCTGTTTTCTCATCCTGCCGAGGATTTCGCTGCTGTTTCGACCGTCGCGCGCCGTCCTTCTCTCTGGTATCCGGGCGACAGACGTGGCTCTTTGTTTCCGTGCTATCCTCCAGCTCCCCGCGGCCTTGAGCTCCCCCAGCCTCCACCGGTTACGGAAACCCACTCTCTGCCAGTGCCGCCGCATTGCTCTTGCCTGCTGGGCTGGCGACCCGCGGCGCCGGGTGGCAGCGTGACCAGGACTACGCGCACAGCGTGCACCTCCCAGCCCCCCGTCAGCGCGGCGGCGGGTTTATCCGCGCCGATCGAGCGCCAGCACGCCAATAACGCCGCCCGAGCCACGCAGAAGCCTACCAGCGCTCTCCCAGGCACCGCGCCCGTCAGTCGAGGTATCCTCGCTCCCTCCCACCCCCCAAAAAAGACCGGAGATCCACCATCTTCCCTGACCCTCTTCTTATCCTGCCCAACCTCTGATCTGCCTCGCCTCGCATCACCACCAGGGTTTTCCCCCTTCCCTGAGGGCTACGCGGTTTCTTTTCTCCAGCCTGTGGTTCTGTCTCCCCTCTTCCTCCCTGTCCTCTCTCTTGTGCCACCCCAGCCGGGTGTGTTCTCGTCTCGCCTCGCCTCGCCTCCCTAAGCGCTGTTCCGTATCCGGATCAGCGTCGTGCGCCTCTCACTTCCGTCTCACCTCCTCCGTTGATTTCTTCCGTTCATCGTTAGACATCAGGCCATTGTCCTTTTCCATCATTCCTCGTCGTCCGGGCTTTCCAGGTTGGGCCCGTTTGCCACGTTTGATCCTCTTCCACTCTTTAATTTCGTCGCCTGTCCTGAGCCCGTCGTGGCGCGCCTCCTATCACTATTCTTCCTCGCCATACTCGACACGCTCGCACTCCCTGCTCTTGCCGATCCGGCTCGAGCATCTCTCCCACATCCCAGAGGTCTTCTTCAGTTGGTGGGCGTCCCTATATCTCTCGTTTTGGTTGGGCTAGGTCTGTCGCGACATCCGGGTGGAGATTGTTGATCACCCCTCTGTCGCGCGCCTGAAAGAATCCTACAATACCGCCGTACTACGGTCCGCCTACACTGTTTCCTGCTGGAAGACGTGGCTGCCCCTTGCGCAGAGAATTCTGAGGTGGAAGTGGCCCATTTGGCTGCTCAGCCATGAACCAGATGAACGTCGCCGGGATGAATCCTGGGCCAGGTGGCCCCGTGGGCGGAGTGCCCATGATCAACAACGGTTCGGCGGCTCCCCGCAATGAGCCTCAGTCCCAGGAGGCCTTAATCACCCAGCTCAACACGTGTATCTATGACTACTTCCTCAAGCGAGGCCACCATGACTGCGCGAGAGCACTCCTGCAAGATGAGTCCATAAAGTTGAACACGGACCCAAACGCGAAAACAAGTCCCGGTAACCGCCGCGACGGCGACGTGAATGGAGTTGAATCCGATGCCACCATGACGGACAGCAAGGACGGTGATAAAATGAAAATCCCCGACGATCTTCCTCGTCCCAATGTCCCCAATGATAGCCAGCAGTCCTTCCTTTTTGACTGGTTCAGTCTCTTCTGGGATATTTTCTGGGCGCAACGGAAAAAAGGCCTCACTAATGAAGCTAGGCAATATGTTCAGCACACTCAGGTTGGTCTCGTCCACGGTCCCTCATTATTTGACGATCCACTAATTCAATTGTTACTCTCGTAGCAAATGCTGCGCTTAAGAGAACAACAGCAGAACCAATTCTTGCGTCAACCGGCGATGATGCCCGGCCAAGTGGCTCAGCTTAACATGCGTCGCAATGGCGCGATTCCACCAAGTCTCCAAAAGACTGTTTTACAAAACAACACCGCAGGCTTGTACGTTCCTTCCCCCCCCCCCTTTCTTTTTTTTTTGGTTAACCTCTCATCCTTTCTTCGATCCGATGAGAGTTTGTGCTAACGGATTGTGTGTAGAACACCCCAGCAAATGGCTCAAATTCAGAAAAACCAGCAGGTCCAGATGATGCATCAGATGCAACGAGAACATTCAGATATGGACATGAATGGACATCGTCCGCAGTCTCCATCATCTGCAGAAAATGCTCCGTCTCCTTCGAAACGACCTCGCCTTGAAGGATCACATATGAACGGACAGCAGATGGCACCCAATGGCCGTGGACAAGGTCAGGGTATGCCAGGACAGCCGAACCCCCAGGCGTTGTTAATGCAGAATGGGATCAACCCGAGAGGAATGAATCCCGCACAGTTTCAGGCTTTTCAGCAGTCAGGACCGGCTGCGCAGCAGAAATCCATCCAGGTATATGCTCAGAACTTGGCTCTTCATCACTCGCGCTCAGCAATGAATAACCAGGGCATGCCGAACGGTTTGATGAATCCCGGTGTCGTGCCAAACCAAAATGACCTGATGCCACCCATGCCGGACGGTCAGGGTCTCCTGCCTATGGGTGGGGGGGAGTACTATGGCGCCAACGGCCAGATGGGTCAGGTCGGACGGCCTGGTGGAATGCAGACACCTGGCGGTCAGAACGGCAACCATGCTCTCCAGGATTATCAAATGCAGCTCATGCTGCTCGAGCAGCAGAATAAGCGACGTTTGATGATGGCTCGGCAAGAGCAGGATAGCATGGCGCGTGCTGACGGCCAGCCCCCAATGCCAGGGCAGCAGGGGTTGCCTCCAGGCACCTCGCCCCAGGGCAGCAGGGCGGGAACGTCTCCGAACCCAAGCGACCAGATGAAGAGGGGAACTCCGAAAATGCCCCAAACTGGTCTGCCAGGCTCCCCAAGCGCCGGTGAAGGCATGCAGGGCCGCGGCTCCCCGGCATCCATGAATTTTAATAATGGTGGTCAGATGCCGCCGGAGATGGGCGCTCCTTTCTTCATGAAACCGGATGGCATGGTTGGTCCTAATATGCGACCCCCAAGCTCCAATCCGGGTTTCAGTGGTCCTCAGATGGGCCAGTCTGTGGATGCCATGGGCCGACCACAGCAGCAGGCTGGAGCAGGCAACCGGGTGCCCAGCGGTAACTGGCAGCCGCAGCAGCAACAAGGCCAGCAGGGACAGCCGATGGTGCCCCAGCAGTCGCCCGCAAACCAGCCTCAGCCGACTGGGACGCCCCAGGAAAGGAACGCGATGCCACCTCCTCAGGCTCCGCCCGCTGGGGGTGCCAATAAGCCCGCCTCGCCTCAATCCGGTGCGGCGCCGCCGACACCTCAGCAAGCGAACAAGCCGGCTCCGAAAGGAAAGAAAGATGCCAAAGATAACCGGAAGGTACAGTATCTCCCCCAGCTTGTTCCCTGTAATCCCGTCATCTTTATTGAGCACGATCCTAGCGGCCTTCAAAGAAGGCAACCACTGCTCCGAATGCGAACACCGCCGCGACCCCGTCCTCCGAAGCGGAACCCCCCCCTACACCGACGCCTTCGACCCCGATTACTCCTCAGCACCCCAACTCCTTCAACAAGACGGGAACGAGCGCAACGACTTCGACCCAGCAACAGCCGACGTCGGCTCCGGCTCCTCAGCAGCCCATGGTTCAGCAGCAGCAGCAACAGCAACAGCAACAGCAGCAACAGCAGCAGCAACAACAGCAGCAGCAGCCACAACAGCAGCAACAGCAGCCAGATCCGAACCAGCAATCATTTAATGACCTCAATATCCCAGATGTATGTCCCATGATGGACTCGTCTCTTCTCGTTGAGGAGGTTCGCTAACCAAGTTCCTAGGCTTCAACTTTCAATCTCGATTTTAGCGCTCTGGAGAATCCAGATATTCTGGAGAATTTCGACTTCGACACATTCCTCAATACCGACGCTGATACCGCGGGATTTGGATTTGACCCGAATATTTCATACCCAACTGATAGTGTCGAAACCGGTGCTGGAGATGGGTTGTGAGCGGAGGCTTAATCGATATAATCTCAGTTCTATCCTTTATACCCAAATTTGTACATCTCTTGTCGTATTTTCGCAGACCTGTCACTTTATTTCCCTTTTCTTTCTTCTCGCCGTTTCAATCTTTTTCCGGGCTTCCTTTTTTTTTATAATATTTTGGAATTTTTTTCTTCTCTTTTGCCAGGCTTATCGGATGTGCTCTCTGAGACCGGCGTTTTGTATCAATCTTCTTTGCATCTCACACTCTAGCAAGTAGCGGCAGGATACTCTCGAAAGTGATATACCCTGTTTCGCGAACTTGGATGTCCATCTTGTACTTTCTGCTGTCATGTTTTCTGACCTTGAAATTTGGTAGCTGCCTGTGTTAAGATTTTCTTCGGGTCCTCTTCTCGCTGTCAGCCACTATATGTATATGACGTATTTGCTGTTTGAAGCGGATGATCTGATGATCTCTGTCTTTTCCCCAACTGCTTAGCCGCAATGAAGCACCTATTCGTGGCTCTCATGGGCGAAGCGGCGAACTGGACGCGATTTCTTGAGGTTGCATGAAAACGAGTAGGATAGAAAGGTCTCACTTTTCTCCGCTCCAAGTTTCCAACATGCGGATTTACCATCTTTTTCGGTTACTCCCTTCTCTCTCTTTTTCCTTTTTCCTCCCTATCTTGAGTGCTCTTCTTGGCAGTCACAATCGGAGTTGCTCGGTTTTCTATTCTAATAGGGATTTCCTTTTGGTATTGGTCTCCTGGTGGGGAAAGGTGATACGGTGTGGGTTGATTTGAAAAGAAATAGGGACAAAGATTTTTCTCGGGAGCGTCTGTCTGGTCATTTATTCTGTTTTACGTGTTTACATTGGCGAATGTGTGTGTCATGTGTCATCTGGCTCGCCTGGTTCTCTTTTCTTCCCTTTTCACGTTAGGTCTACCTTCAATGACTCTATTATTATTTTTGTTCCCCCCCCCCCCGTTTTCCTGTGTGCTTTCAGTGATATACCATTTTTTTTCTTCTTCTTTATGCGTGCGTGTCTGTGTCGTTTTTTATCTACAGATTGTTGGTTCCTCGATACCTACCTACCTACACATCCTACACATCCTACACATCCTACACATCCTACACATCTTTGTCAAGCCACCTATTCAAACGCGGTGTCTCTTAAAAAAAAGCAAAAACAACCCTCCTCCCAAATACCAGTCTCCTCAATTGGTCTTTTTTTTTCAAGCTTCTTCTAGCTGATAACCATTATTTACCTACTACTTTCTCTTCTACTATCGATAGTCTGGATTATACCCCGTCGTAGAAGTCCTTTCCCTCTTTCTGTTTTTTTTTCTATTTTTTTTGTAGTCTCAGACTGATTGACTGACTGCTTGCTTGCTGTACACGTTCCAAGATCTTAGTGAGGCCTAGCGTGATGCGCTAAAGGGAAGAAAGGGTCTTGGGAAGTAGGAAAAGCTTGTTTATTTATTATTCTAAGTTGCACTTGAATGGTAAACGTAACGTAGTAAGGCTGTGCAAATTTACATACTCCTTTGTCGATTGGGAGAGTACGACTTTTTTTTTAGACTTGGTCATTTTAATGAACTTACTAGGAACGTATTAATACCTGCAACATCACAAGACAGAGTGGAGCTTCCTTTTTTGGAAAGTTGGGAATGACTAAAACCTATCTGATTGTATAGTACAAGAGTCATGATAAAGAGAATAATGGATCAGACTTTTTTTTCCCTTTTTTCATTTTCCTCTTTTTTTTTTTGGCGGAATGTAAATAAAATATAATTCCTTGTGTACCGTGTGGCAGAAGTGACGACTTGAGAGAAAGGACCTCAGGACGAACTCGGTGATCTAGGTCCTATTCACCGATATCTCCGTCTCTTAATCAATTCTCCCCTATTGTCTTGGCAAAATTTGAACATTGCTAGACTGAAGATTTATCAGTAAACGACGAGACAATTCGTTCCAGTCCTGAACAAGGATGAACTAGCCGGTTGGGATGCTCACCAGTTGATCCTTCCTTTCCGCGTTGTAATTGATCAACTATTGCGCACTGGCTGATTGAGACTCGCTGAGAGTCTGGTGAACAAAACTTGCCATAGCTGCTTCGTGCCAATTCTGAATTCTCGCACGTTCTTCACGAGCCTCTCTTTCGAGCGTGGTATCTTCTTCAACCAACTGGACCAGGTATTCTACCACTTTTCGGCAACAGGCTTCCTTCGCTGCATTCACATCACTGTTGACATCTTCGAATTTGCCGTCGGCGCTAGCCCGAGCCAGAAATGGATCGTGAGGAAAAGAGGCCTTGACACAATACTGTTTGTTGACGCTCCCATCGGCTCTGATGATCTCGATGTTTGGATGCCCTAATTGAAGAATCTTGCAGATTTCTGCTCAGAGGCCACAAGAGGTGGCAAGTTGGTCAGAATACGACAGTAGACAAAGTCATTTCCAGGACCCTAGCTGGGGTCATAGGGGAACGAGGAAGGGTAAACTTTACTCTTAAGTTGTTCGCTATACGTATTCTCCATTCTGATTTCATGCTTCAGACGCCTTGGTGACACGCTCCATCTGCTCTGTTGCTGTGACTGGTCTCGATCTTCGATTGGCGTTATCCGAGACCTCTGCAGGGGAATCAAATTTGCCGGGGGAGCTGGAGGGCCATTGGCATTCTTCTTCTTCTTCTTCTTCCTGGACCGGCTTTTGCGCACTCTCGACGTTTTCGATTGGGTTTGATGGAGTATTGGGAAATCATTCATGATACCAGATTGGTTTCCACATGTTGGCTGGCTCGGAACTGTCCCAGGGACAAATGTCAGCACATTCTGATTTAACGTTGAAGGTCCTGGAAAAGTGTTAGCATCATTTAGGTCTTCAATAAGGAGCAGATATAAGCCCCTATGGGCAGCAGCTTCAACTGCATCCTTCTCCGTCCTGTAAAACTTTCTGAATCCAAAGGCCGAGATCCCCGGCAGATCCACCTCGTAGCGATATCCGTTCTCGTGGATATACCTCGTGTAGTTGGGGAGAGGAATTAAACCCTGCTTGCAGTGCTCTTTTTTTTCCTTGTCAGCTAATGTGTATCACAAGAGTTGCAAAATGAAAGAGTTCACTGTTACCCTCAAGCAATTCAACCCAATTCCACTCCGGTGCCGTGAGATATTCGCTAGGCTCATCTGGCACAGTCCACTGTGCATAGTCCTGCTTTAAGCACCCTAGAGCCTCACGGCACACCTCCACTTTGACGCTACTCTTGCTCCCATACAGGTTCGGTTTCGACAGAGTCTGGCCGTACAGGGTGAGCTTGACGCCCCACCTGCCGCTGCTGTCATCTCTGATGAAATTGAACTGTGGGCGAAGGTGTTGCTGAGTGGTTAAAACACCAAAGTAAAAGAGAACTTTATGACGTGTCAAATGGAGTGGATCAAGTGCGCCGAGGCGTGTACATGATCTTCTGATCTGTTCGCCCGCATTTGGCCAACTCTCGAAGGGTCTACGAGCAAATGTCTCACTGCCCCGAGTAGCCAAAGCCATATTGGACGGCGGCCTGGGAATAAACTGAGAGGGCACGTCCCTCGACATTTGTTCTTCTTCCTCTTTTATATAACGGCCAAACTCTCGTTCACGCCCAGCGATAGACGCCAGGCTGCCAGACTCTGCTCGTCTCATAGGAATGCTCATCGCTTGAGCACCGATCCCTGGATGACCATTTGATTCAGAAACAGGGGCAAATCCAGAGTTATTTGCCCGCTGTGAGAACCCAAGAGCAGAGGGCACATGGAGCGACTGCTCTGCACTACCTGGAGGCTGCGGTAGTGCAGGTGGACGCCCGACAGACCTATGCACCCCAAATCCAGGAGAAGCAAATGAGCTAGAATGAGCTGCGGCGTCCGACATATGGGCATCGGAGCTCATTTCCATGCTTCTCCCAGTGCCAGATACCTCCATGGCCAGTGAGGGTCGGGGTCCTGTATTGGACTCTTGCGGTGGGTTTGGTTGCGAGAGAGAAAACGAAGCTCTGCCAAACACAGGGTGCTGGGGACCTCCAGGAAAGTCGCTCATTTTCGAGAGCGTTTCCTGAAGATCAGGTGTGTTAAAGTCAGGAAATGGTAGGACTTGTGGCAGAACACTGCTCTGTGAGATAAAGAAAGATGAGAAGGCAAACGGCGAGAGAGCGAAGGATGGTGTAGGAGAGGAAGATATCTCGGAGGATTGATGGACAGCAGTCAATGAGTATGAGAGATCCTTGAGTGACTGACGCGTCAGTTGTTTGCTAATGAGTCAGAGTGTCAGACAACGAAGGCGTCCCTCACATCAGTGACCAGACTCTCGCGTTGAAGGTGAGTGGACACGTAGGAGGATGTCACAGAGTCCTCGACCAGTGAAGAGGAGGAATCCTCCATGTCATATCAAGTGAACTTGCCAATTCACAATATATATCAGGTCCGAGTCCAGCCAGTCTTGTTGAGCGTGTGGGTAACGGATAATCCCGACTTGATTTCATTAACCGATAAATATGGCCGAAGACAGAGAACTGGGAACAAAACTCTCCAAGGAACTTCCCGTCGAATTTGCAGATTTGGAAGGTGCTTGTTTTGGCAAGGGCAATATCAACCGGTACCTATCGTGTTGGTCGGCTTCTTTCTACTCCATGGGGTAATCTGTTCGTGACTGAAACCCCAAAGTCACAGTACTCCTCACCATCCACCGGCATCCTTCATTTATTCTCTAGGTCGAGGAAGGTATCTGATTCCAGCACTAGTTATGATATATAGCTAATGGCGACTCGTAATCGTAGTACAGTAATTAATTAAAAGCTCAGAAACTCCTCCCTCCATCGCAGGCCATCAAGAGCATCCTAGGTTATTCTATGTCGTTCCTGCAATGTCTTCATTTTCACAAGTATTGATTTTGTGACATTTTATTGGAACCTTTCGTATCAGCCAGACAATCTACAAACTAAGTCGTTCAAAGAGGGCGGTCGCTTATGAGTAGTGATGGTAATATGGTGTGTATGGTCGTGGTCCTCGACAGTACGGTCCATCTCTTCTTTTCGCACATTCTTTTTGCTCCCCTCCTCCTCTCTGTCTTGAGCGTGACGGGAGTAATAGGAATTATATGACATTGACAAACATACGACAAAAGCACTTCACTGAGCAGAGGAGTATAGTAAGAATGAAAAAGGATGTGAGATGAAGCTGCAACGTAAGAAACGTTCGAACGTCAAGATTCGCTCTGGGGGATGGTTTGTTCTTGAGAGAACCTCAGGCATTGCGTGTTGCTCTCTATTCGATCTCGCCAGTCCCATCGGTTCCGGCTTGTGGATGGGTATCGACGTACTCGTCAATGCTCTCCTGCTGAGTGCTCTCTCGTCTATCGACTCGAGACATCTTCTTCGTAGGAGACGAACTGGCAATGTCATCGTTTGTCTGAGAACCCTCTAGGGATCTTCCGCTCGGCCTCTTCCTTTTTATCTCACTGGAGACATGCACAGCACTTTCGCTAGTCCGGACGACGACTCTCGGCTGGTTATTGACTATCTTGCTCATCTCTCTGCCGGAATTCTCACCGGTCCCATCTGGTTCATTTTCCTTGTTGCTGCAAATGCCTTTTGTCTCCTTTTTACCTTTGATGTTCCCGCTCGGACTGACAAGGACTCTGCGAGTTGCATTGGTTTCAACAATGTGTTCCACTGCTGGACCGGATTTCGCACTGGAGCCGGACACGTCCCTAGTTCCAGGCTGCGAGATTTCCTTGGGCCCTGTCGGTCGACATCCGCTCTGAGAGTACGATTCGGTTCGAGCCTTCGCGGCTGCCGACGGTCGAGTCACTGTTGTTGGGACGTATGAAGGTGTGTTCGTTGGTGCGAAGGTTCCAGTAGAAAGCGGTTTCGTAGGGCTCATCGCCTCAATCAGTTCGTTGTATTGTTCGTCATCAGCAGGAGCAGTGATGCTGGGCTGCTTATTGTGCTCGTAGCTGATCCCAGTCATGTTCGAGATAGCACGGCTACTCGTGGAACTTGAGCCGACATAGTCCGGCATCGGGACATCTTCCAAAGTTGACCTCGCCCGGCGAGATGGACCATGCCCTCCCATAAACGGCTCTGTAAATGGATCTGGCAAGGGGGGATCTTGGGGAGCAAATCTTGGATCTCTCGGTCCACTCGACCAATGTGGCAATGGAGTTGGAAAGATCCTATATGGCCACGTAGAAGGTATCGGCTGACTGCTAGTCTGGCTACTCCCAGTTCCAGGCTTTCGAGTCTCGTGTCGAGTTGGCGAATGGGCATGTGCGTCATCCGCTTCCTTTGGATCGCTATAGCCGCTGTAACCAGTTCCGGAGTGATACTTGAAAAAGTTACAAGGGATTTGACACCACATGCCGGCGTTGGGCCAAGCTATGTTGGAGTACTCCAATATGTCTGTGCACTGCTCAGCTGAATCATCTATTCAAACGCAACAGAAAGTGACCTACGAAGCGGAGCATGCTGAAAGGAGAATGCAATAATGTCCTTGAACCTTTCGAAGGGGGGCGAGCGATGAGGGCGTGAAAACCCTTCAGAAATGGTCACCCTAATGCGGCCGTGCAGCTCCCCGGCATCCCAATGGCTTTGTTGCAATATCTCTTGGTGGAAAGGGGGAAAGCGAAGGCTGTCCTGATTGCCGTTCTTATCGACCTCTGGAGAATATGTCCATCAGAATTGTCGTGAAGGAAGTCAAGAAGAGGTGAATACTTACGAGAGCTGAGATCTATTGACCAAAATTCAAACGCGAAGGAGTCAGCAGGATAATAGCATACAGACTTTGAGAGAACAACTTGCCGATAACATGGGGCCAAGCAGTCCTCTGACTGAAAATGCTGCCTCTGTGTATGCGTTTGTTAACACAACCTTGGACAAAACGCCGATGGTGAATACATACGCCACACAGAGACCATCCACGAAAATCCTCACTTCGTACAAGACCGAGTCATCGGGTTGCATTAAGCTCTCCATTGTGCGGGACGGGCGAGGCTTTTCCCAGCTGTGAATGGATACCCTGAAAGCACTGTTCTGCGGCAGGCTTGGGATGAAAGCTGTCAGAACTGGCAGCTGGCCCACGGATCTAGGGGTTGGATAATAAGGCGACGGATCGATGAATGCGGAAGTGAGGAGATACGGTGACTCTTTGGTTTTCGCATTAGCATACGTATCAATAGAAACATCAAAAGACACCTATAATGAGTTGGCTAACCTCGATCCCTTGTCACAAAACATTGAGTTCGGAACTCCTGTATAGGGACCTTTGACCCCTCTGGAAAGAGAAGGACGTCCCAGTTTTCGTATCTCATATCGAACGTGAACGACTCTGCTCAACGACGACAGGAGACTACGACGTATAATCTCAACTCGGAAAGGTAGAGAGGAGTGCTAGAATGGAACCGATCTCGTCAAACTGAGAACGATGCACAAGGGGAAGACAGAGGATAAAGATGCGAGGAGGTTATTGAAGAAATATCGATACTGTCGGTCCCGCGCAGCAGACGCTCCTGCCGCTCTGGATGTGCAAAGTCAACGCGTTCATCTTAAAAGGCAGGAACCAGGGACACATTTTTAGTTCTGCACTGGGCGGGCTTTCTTGAAAGGAAACTATGGGCAAAGCTGACATCTACCAAATTTGGTAATCTAAACCTGGGCCTTAAGAGGACACAGATTAGCGCTCTTGGATTCTCACATTGCAGACAAATTTAATGACCTAAAGGCGAAATACCTATCCGTACAATCAGGATCATAGCAAGCGTCCATGGCTAACTATCCTGTATAGATTCCCAGGGCAGAGCACAATGATTATTGCACGTCTCCAAATCCAGTGACCCACAAAGCACTGCCCAAAAGACATAAAAACAATAGTGCACCGCAAGAGGGGAATCATCTGCTTCATAAATGACCTATCAACTGTCGATAGAGACGTACATGGACTTGGAATCGTTAGCTGAAGAGGAAAGTTACGAACAGGCAGTACGCGAAAAAAAAAAGAGCAATTTGCATTCTGGTCGTGATGGGTACAGGGGAGGAAAAAAAAGCCGGCCCAAATTTTGAATTAGAAAAGCTGTCGCATGCAGAGCTGCCTTGAACCGTAACTCCAAAGGGTGCTCACAATGAAGGCAATCTATCATCCCTAGTAGCTACAAGAACAAAGCCTCAGCAAGCAGATCCCTTGGGTGTCCCATGGCATTTAAATCATGCAAAATGACGAGAGATAATAATTCACGCAATGAGATCGAAGCCGGATGAAATGGATATAGAAATGAATTCGACGAAGGAAAAGAAACTTAAACGAGCGAATGGGGTGTCTTTGGGAACGGGAAGCAGTTGAAAAAGGAGAAAAGAAAAATAAAAAGGAGATCAAGGGTGCAAAGTGTTGTACAGCCGTCAGTCTAGCAAAAAGCATGATGAAACAACCTCGGAAGAACACGTTCGACTGAACTGATTCATGAAAACAGAGGTCTCATAAACGAACTTTTTGCAGCATGCCGACCCAGCTTGTAATGTAAGGGGCACAAATGAGAAAAGAAAAAAAAGGAAAATGACATCGAGATCACCGTTACACACAGGAAGGATAGACTAGCGAGCACAAGAAGTTGAGCTGAAAAAGCGCTCACAAGGAAGAAGATGGGTCCGTATCTTGAAGCAAGGAAAACGCTCAGATGGAAAAGGAATGCCTAGCACCGGAGGAGAAGCTCATCAAGAGCTATAGAACAGCCTTAACCGAAGCGAAGAAAAGCAAGGGAATTTGTCAAACCAGACCCATCGTTTGAAGCGACGCAAAAACTCCTGCTGGTGCTATCAAGGGAAACGATTCATCTCTTACTACAAGCAAGGGTTAGCTAAAATGCGCCGCCCCGTTGGAGAGTTGGAAGATGGGAAACAGGCAGAGTTAAGGAGGACAAACCTTCATTGGCGCAAAGCCACCATACTGATGTGCCGGAGGCATTCCCATGTTGGGATACATTGGTGGGGGAGGCGCCGGACGGTATGGGGTCCCAGCAGGACCGGAGTTGTTCTGCGAGCGACCCCAGCTCAGACGAACGCGCGAGTTCCCAATCGGGTATCCCTGCATCTGGTTGATAGCCATCTCAGCAGCATGGCGCTGCACGAACTGAACGAAGCCGCAACCCTTGCCAGGCGGGATCTTGACATAGGTGATCTCACCAAAGCCCTGGAAGAACGAACGGAGCTCATCCTCGGTCACATAGCCGGACAGGCCACCGACGAAGACAGTAGTGTTGTTGGGATCGGTGAACTGGTTCATGGGCTGGGGAGCGCCATAGTAGCCCATTGGGGGACCGCCCATGGCGGGAGGATACATGCCCGCTGGGCCGGGCATACCCATCGCACCGTGTCCGACACCGTGGTTCTTGTTCTTCGGAGTCGCGGTTGAGATACGCATAGGACGGTTACCGCAATAGACTCCTTGCATTTCGGTCAAAGCCCGCTGCTGATCGTTCTCATCCGAAAAGCGCACGAAACCGTATCCACGCGACATGCCAGTGACCGGGTCGGTCATGATCTTGGCGGACTTGCAAGACGGGAAGCGGCTCTGGAATAGAGAAACCAGAACGTATTCGTTGACCTCCGGACCCAGATCGCCGACGAAGATCGAGTACTCAGGACCACGGTCCTCACGGCTAGCAGAAGTAATGGACATTAGCAATTGGAGATCGAGAACCAGTGATCTGAAAACTTACCCTCTGTCGGACAGGCCGCCGCCAGTAGCCCAGTTCAATTTGAAGGTACGAGTAGTGTTGGGCATCGGGGTACCATTGAGACTCAGGGCTTTGGCTGCCGCGGCCGGAGAGGAGAAATCAACGAAGCAGTAGCCGGCATTATTCCTCCTACACACATTAGACCTTCATCTGATACGCAAAGGATACAGTTGGCTTACCCAGAGAACTTGTCACGGATCATTTTGACATTGACTTGTTCACCCATCTGGAACCAGAGATTGCGGATGAAGTTCTCGTCGATCCACGGCTCAAGTTCACCCATCCTGATGCAGATCCATCGTGTCAGTACATGCTCGCATCGGAATGTCGCAGAGGGGGACAACAATGCGGCACGACATGGGTGAGATGAAGGCGCAGGAGAAAAAACAAAATGATAGCCTCCAACGTCGCACTGCCACATCTTTTATCCAGGGAATTTTGAACGTACCAGAGCGTGGTCTTGCCCTCCTGGGCTTGCTGAGGAACCGGGGCGGCCGAGGGTTCGCCCGGGTTAGGGCCCTGGAAAGGAGCGGGGGAAGGATCAGCCTGTCCGGTCATGGTGGTGTCGGCAGTTCCCGGAGCCCCAGTCGCGGCGGTTGCATCGGCCGGCGGGTGCTGGTTCTGGAAAGAATCGAAATTTTGGAAAGACATATTTGCTTCGATATTCAGGACAGCCGGTTCGAAAAAGGCACGAAGTTAACGATGAGTGACCGGGAAAGAAGAACCTATTTGGAGAACCAAGCCGAGTCAGCGCTGAGAACCGGTATATGCGAGGAGGAAGCCAAAACCTTCGCAGCTAGTACCACTCAAATCGAGGTCAACGTACCTTGGACACCGAATACGCGCAGTAAAGGGGACGGAAAGCCAAATAAAAACTTTTTGTAATCCGTGAAGACGGCCGTTACGACTTGGAACTTCGTAGGAGTCGTGAAGGAAAGACAAGCTTGCAGACGTGGCACAGAGTTCGTAATAAGCCCGGGAAGGACGCGCAGAAAGTATCTTACTTCCTGTAATGACACCAGAGCGGTTCTGTTAGTGAATCTGTTTCGGAGATCTGATAAAAAAAATTCAAGTTTCCACCCAAGGAGTGAAGATGGAGCTGCTATTGCAACGATTGGAGCAAGGCGGCTTGGGAGATGGCAAGAGAATGGAAGGTCAGGTATTGGAGAGGTGGGGAATGATGGAGATAACACGCTGTTCGGCGTCCGCAGTGACCAGCAGATGATGAAGCGGAAGCGGAAGGCAGACCATGTTCACAGAGGGTGAATCTCCCCACGCCGAGCCACTATTGCCCCCAGACCAGCAAGCGCACCAGAAGTTATCACAGCAGCCATAGAAGCAGAACGGCGTCTCTTTCAGTGCGGGATGGAGGATGCGACAGCGGTGGACCGACCAGAATGGGCCAGCATCCAGCGGGCACTGCTTTTTCCGCTTCCGGCGAACATCTTCAACACACGTTGGTCGGAGTGCGACCGCGCATTGACGGGAAACGCCGCAGTGATCCGCACAGGCTTGGGCAGGGAATTGCACATTGGGTATAGACGTGTTCTCCTTCATGCTGCTGTGGTCTTCCTGCGGTTCTGGCCGGCGAGCGACAGCGAAACTCATTCGACGCGTAGTCCCAGCCTGCACTTCCCTTCACCATGCTAACCAGCGAAATCTGCGATTGACGGGGGACCTCTGGTGCGCATAGAGAAGCACATCGGCCGATCGTCGAGGGGTCCACAGGACAGGGCTGAACCGAGTTTCTGAGGGAGGTGAATGGGGTTGAGGCGAAGGGTGCCGCTTGACCTTGCCAGTGCCCAAGGCCCACGGGGAGGGGAAGGATATGAACACTGCACACCAAGGGAAGCGGACTTACCAGGTAAAATTGAACAACGAAGGGTCAATGCAGATTACTTTTTCTTACTCGTTGCCAAAAAAAAGACGACGTTCAACCGACGTTGCGCAAAGACTCGAAACGACAACGGAGAACCAGACCTGGAAAATCGAGATAACTCCTGCGACAAAGGGACACGAAGGATACAGGATAAATCTGCAAACCAACTCCGTCCCTTCCGGGAAGACAAGGAACACACAAAGAGAGGGGGGGAGGGGAAAGGAGGAGAAGGGTAGGGGCGGGTAGTCCAACGGAGAGAATCCAAGATGAAGCGGCAGGAGAGGAGGAAAAGTGAAGAGGAGAGGAGAAAGAAGAGGAGGGAAGAGCGCACGGAAGAGGAACAAACGGAAGATAGACGGATGAGGGGCCCAGCGCAGGACAGGGCAGGGCAGCCAGGCCGCGGACGAGGCACCACCAGCTGTGGGACGGCCGGCTGGTTAGCCCACGGAGCCGCTTGGTCGCTCAGCACAAGCCGGCCCGCCGTCGAACACGGCCCCAGCGCCAAGCAAGAATAGAAATGAAAACGCCTTAGTGCCTCGATCTGCTCCTCTTCCTGTACCATGTCCGGTGCTTGCGCTTAGATGCAGGCGTGTAGATGCAGTGCGCGTGCAACGGGCAGTGGCCCGGCCATCCTGGGTTAGGAAGATCAATAGACCAAAACGAATGAATTAAATTAATTACTCCAGCAGATCACTGGTCGCTGAATAGATCTCGACATGATAATCGACCTTCTTGGACTGTGAGTCTTTCCTCTAACCACCTTGCCCAAAGGATGGTTCGCTTCCTGGGACATGCGATCCTTATCAACGAGTCTACGAAGGCTATCAAAATGGCTCTCGTCCGATCTTATCCTGTCAAGGCCATCTCTACCATAGTAGGTGATGAAATGGTGTATTCCAGATGGAAGGACACGGCAGGAAAGCAGCCACGAAACTATATATAACGTCCAAAAGCTCCTAGCCTCGTTCCGGTAGACTGGGACAGAAATGCACTGGAATGTCCTGTAAATAAATAAATAAGCAAGAGAATGAATCGAAGCTGGTAGTAGATCGGAAATCTTGACAGAAGAGCTTGCGCCTAGGCCACCATGCAGGTCAGTCACCTAGATAGGCCCGAGTCCACAGCCAAGGGGTCCTCCGCGCCCGTACATGAATGCTGCAGAAATCTGCAAGGACCTCTGCTCATTGCATATGCACAGTCTGGATGTATCGATCTTCTTGCCTTTTTGTCAGGCCAGGGCATGCGGTTTCGCGACCATCATAGGTTAGTCATCTGCTCCACTGCAGCAACAATGACCACAGGATGCCTAGGACTCGAGGCTGTCGCTTCCCCGCCCTCGGCGACCCACTAAGAGCTGCCGGATTACAACGAGCGCAGCAGCCCGGACGGGACCTGGAGGACGTTGTATGGCATGCCAGAGCGTGAAGGGTATGGAGAGATGGCTACGTTGGATGAGAATGTGACTCTATTGCACTCCATTGGTCAGCCAGGACGTGACAAGCTGCGCATAATTTAGAGGGCAGATTCTAATCTAACAATGATGATACGTCATCCGATGCCAAGGACAAAGTCCGAAGTAGGCTGAAGTTAGTTAGTTCAGGTGCTGGAGCAGCCTCGCCCTTCTTCGCGAACTAGTCGTTCTAGTCGCGTTCTCGCGTTCAAAGAGAGAAAACGCGCCAGAGGGGGACAAAAAAGAAAAAAAAAAGAAGAAAAAAAAATTTCCAGACTCACAAACCTTAACGCGAAGCAGTTACCCACCCTCGCCCACAAATCCCGATTCGACGCGATCATTGGTCGAGATCCGTGGCTCGGCGGCCGTAAGCGCGTCTCGTTCGCTTCCCACACGACCCATCGTGATCCGATCGGGCGGGAGAGATTCATTCAGTCCTCGTGGCCTTTTGGTCAGATTAATCCCCTGTCGCTATTAATCCTGCCAGGCTGACAAGCATCATTGTCGCATATGAATTGCCCTTCCAACCAGGAGTGTCAAGCGCGGTGATCAAGGGAGCAAACAAACAAGCAAGTTTCGGAAAAAAAAAGGGTGAGAGCATGGAGAGCATTACTGATCTCGGCCGCGGTAAGGCTGCTAATACGGGAATTCCCTGTTGAATTAATTTATAATAGTCCTCACCCAGCCCACAAAAGCTGTCTGCTGTTTGGGACGAACCATGGAAACGCCCATCCACCACAATCCCGGTTGTGCCCAACAAATTCAACACACAACAATGGCTCAAGAAAATTTTTGTCTATTTTCCCTGCCTGCGATGTAGCTAGCTAGCGGTAAGGACTGTGTTGATATTGACACAACTGCTGATGGAAACCGATAAGTTGATAGTCCTTGCATGTGGCTGTGCTGCAAACGCTTAGTTGCCTGCAAGAACCAATAATTCTCCCCATCCACATGACAATAATAAAATCCTCTACAGCCCGTACATTGCCAGGATGACTTCATCCGATCCTTCTTCTGTATTCACGTCTCCAACATATCTCAGCCATCCTTTCCCGTAACTGGTATACGCCACAGGCGTCTGTCCGACGTCGACTTTCTTCGGAGGGGAGGCAGCTGATTCCGTGACCGATTCTTCCGTAGGCAGATACAGCGCGGCGCTGGAGTCAACGTTCTTCAAGAAAACGGCCTTCAGGCTATAACTGAATTGAATGCCGGGAAAATGGTTCAGCAGCTGGATGCCACGAAACCGCGAGTATTCAGGTTCACTGTAGTTCGAATGTAGTCACCAAATTGCCATGGCAGGCCGAGCTTCGTGCTGAAGAATTGATTAAAGTCTGTCGAAGAAATGAAGCTGGAGAACGTGCAACAAAAGACGGCCGTTCCACCGTTGCGGACATAAGCTAAGAGGTGCTCGAGGAGAGCCTCTGGGTGTTTCTTGTCCGTGATCCCGGGATCCGTGATCAGGATGGCCTTGGGAGGATTAGGATCGTCCTTGAAAGATGCTAGATGTCGAACGGCTGCAGACGCGGTTTTTGCACGCTGGATCTTGACACGCTCCGCAAGCCTGTCGATAAGACGAGAGTACATGTCATCGAACCATTCCTGGGAGGAGATTGAAAGAAGAAACGCGGGGTTTAGAGGATGCTTGCGAAGCCGCACCCGACATCTTCTTGAAAGAGAAATATTAATTATCAACGATATTCAGCCTTTGAAATGACGTCCTCAGAACTTGAATGAACGTGCTCAGAGAACGAGTGATCAGGGACCTCGAGTGTTGGGAGAGATCAGACACTGAGACGCGGTCAAGTGCGGGAAGCTCTACCCGTCCGCCTGAAGGGTGCACATCGGAGTTTTTGTTAAATGGGAGAATCTATCATCTGTTGAGGTTATGGCTATAAGCATGTAGGGGAGAAGCTTCTACAAGCATCACTATAGAAGACAATATAATGATATGAAGGAGACTTTTACCTGATTCTAATCAGATGTGGGCGACCTGGCGTATAAGCCTTATTGTAAGAAGCGGGGTATCGCAATATGATGTATCACATCAGCTTATATGACTACCGAATCCAGTTAGACCGGTATGTCATGAATTCCAACATCATCCACGGCGGGCAGCACATGTCAAGCCTCTCCAAGTAATATTTGCTCGAACTTGGAAAATTGACAGATTAGGAAATTTTACCCATGATACTAAATCCATGATACTAAATTCCACAGCGCAACAAGACAACCACCTTGGCTCAAAAGTGATCTAGCTATTAAGTAGTTTTTTTTCTCCTTTTTTTTTCGCATTCTTAGAGATTAGACCCTCTGTTATATGTCCCACCATATAAAAATCACTTGAGAAAAACTCTAGAAGTGCTCTACTTACATCTTCTCTATCAAATCTTGCCCTTATACTAACCAGTCACACAGGTGCAGATTTCTTCTGTGGAATTATTCAGTGTGCTTGTCCTAATAGAATCTTCGCATCAGAAATCAAAGACACATTAAAAAGGCATAGAGCAGTATTGCTCAGCGTGACGTGAACGCAACCATCACATGCCAGGCATATCTCATGCTACTCCTCGCTCATCTAACAGGTCCCAAAGAGGACAATGACAGAAATCCAGCGTTCGAAAAGAATTTGGCTGTGGAACGGGGGTGCCTTGTATTCGATTATCCATTTAGCCCCGGATGGTAGGCGACGCTCTTGCGACGTATATCCCAGTATCTGAAGGCTGGAGAATGGTTTCTGGGAATCTAGCGCAACAGAGGATAAACCATCTACAGAGCCGCATTGGCTTGATAGCACAGAGGGAAGGATGTAGTGGAGTGCTTCGGGCGTTGACAGGAACTGGGCCATTCTGTCCGATATTGGGTTTGAGCTCGCGGTTCGTGATATGGTCGACTAAGTTGAGAACATTGGGGATGGCGACAAAATAGTCCCATTCCTGTGAGTCATGGCAAGAAAGCTGATGACACCCGGAGTAGTCAAGATACATACAATTATGAGATTTAGGTTAACTTATACGGCTGTTGTACCTAAAAGCAGCACACAGTACCCGTTCTCTGAATGGTCGCTTTGCTCAAGAAAAGAGGTTTCTGGAAGTCGAAGGTTTCATCTAACTCCTTTCAAGCAGTATCTTCCATTAGTAGAGGGGCAGGCAGGCAGGCGCAGGCAACGGTTGGAAGTTGCCTTTCCTGGAAAGGGAGTGCAGTCACATGGCAGGCAGTTACATCGATTAACAAGACGGAAACTCGCTGCAGGGAAAATGCTATGATATCAACTCTCCTTTCCCAAGCTCGTCTCCCAATATTTGAATCGTCCTCTCGTATACTCTGGTCGCTTCCATTTCCCATCGTCCTGGGCCTTCTAGATCCCTGTCTTCCGTGCCGAAGAATTCGTCGTCGTCGTTGTCATTTGCTCCTCCATCCAAATCAGTCTCGTCTTCGTCCTCCTTGTCATCATTTCCGCGATCCCTAGCTTCCACAACAACAAGACGACTCGTCTCTGCAATGCTCTTGATCCGGACCTTTTCTGTCATTGAGATGACCTGCCGCCGGCTCTCGAACCCTGAGAGGGGAGCTCCGCTCTCGACATCCTCGCCCAGGAGCAACGATGCAAAGACTATATCTAGCTTCTTCAGGAGACGAAATGTCGACCGGGGAGAGAAAGGGTAATCTGGAAGATAAGTATTAACCAGCCCAGCAAGTGATATCAGATATGGAATCTGGAGCGATGCTGCAGTGGCCATACGAACCATTAGTTAGGATACGTTTCTGGTCGTGGGGAGCACGTACGCGTTCCGCTGACCCAAATCACATCAATGATCGGCTCGATGTCTTTCACAACCTCCTTGAAGCTCTCATACCCTCTTTCGTTTTTGTCCTCAGGTCCATCCTGCTCGCCAATCTTGCTACTGAACTTCTTAGCGTGGCGGCGGTTGACCTTCAGGATTTGTTGATCGATGTGATTGATGAGTGCTGTCTCCTTCATTGAACCTGATTTTAGAGGACGGGCTCTCTGACGAGGCAGCGTGGACGGAGTCACAGTGGAAGAGGACATGGCCGAAGGAGCTGGTGAGGGGAGGGAGGGCTGGAGGAATCCCCCAGACGTTCCCTCTGTGCCATCCGAACGAGTCGCAGATGACATTTTAGACGCGACAATTTTCCTTCCTCTTATTTCATCCCACCCCTTCAATTGAACCAAAGCACGGCACACAAAAGACTGACAAGATGAACTAGGGGGTTACAGACATCAGACGGTATATATATAGCGAGAACAGGAAGAAGGGACCAGAGACCACTCAGTAGGAAAGCTGCATATGATTTAGGAAAAGCAGGCAGATATCATCACGTTCAGACAGATAAATCAAGATCAGACCACGATCTTCTATATTATATATAGTCAGCACGCGAATCACTTCTTGTGCATACGCAAAATCCGGATTCCTTTCTTTTCTCACAGCCCAGCCAATCGTCCTATTTGTTTTTATCAAGTAAGTAAGTTAACACTGGAGAAGATGTACGGAGTATGTCATCATACGTTTGAGTGGAGGAACCTCGGTCGGGTAAAGTTGCCAGTGTTGTTTTAGGTAAGTGCGGGAGAGTTTATACAGTATTCCAGAGGGACCAGTTGCGCAGAACAATCGCTTGACACGGAGTATCGATATGGCATGGTCAAGTTATTCGGTTATCCGATAAATGGACTTAGAAAAAAAAACAAGAAAAAACAAAAAGGAGGACTTAATACTACTTAGTACTAACACAATGTGGGTATTAGGTACATATTTTTAACCATTGAGTTCAAGTAATTTTTTTTTAAAATATCTCTGGCTATCCCATCCCATCCTATTCATTGAATGTATCATTCCACTGATCGATCGTACTGTCCTATATGCATGTACATTCGGGGTATCCCTACCAAGTCTAACCAGCCCAGTAGTAATTAAGTACAATACATCGCATGTTGATGGCTAGAAGAGCAGACAATGTGTGAGTCTGAGCGTAATGTCGAAACGTCTGTCCGAACAGACCGGACACGGAGGGAATAAAAAAGGTAGAGCCCAGATAGATATACATACAAATGGGCTCCTGGGGTCTCTCCCTCCCTTATGGTATCATCCGATAGAGGCGTGAAGCAGGTAAATCGAGCTTAAGAGCTCCCGTCCGTCTGATTAACCTGATCCCAGCTGCAAAAAAAAGGGGTATAAAGAGGGTACAGGATCGACACGTTGGTATCTCTGGCCCTTTAGACATACTATGGGTCCAGGACACCGACGACAGGCGACCGCGCATTAGGTTTCGGACTCGAGCTCTTCCTCGTCCTCATAGACGATAGCTATCCGGCAGTTCACTTCTCTATCAACAAGGAGATAGTTTCGTGAAGTTAGTTAGCTGGCTATTCTTCCCAGAAGAACAGGAAAAGCGGTAGAAACACCATTTTTTTAACGTTAAGCTATATATCAGAGATGGTCAAGGAAGATTAGCATTGAATGGAAATTTTATAGCTGGTTTTTGAAGTCATAGCACGAGATCATTGGAGCTGATCCACATGCTACTATGGCCCCAGCGTACTCATCATAGAATTATATGAAGTATGTCACAAAAAAAGTGTCTAAAAAAAATCATTATCATCAGACATACTTACCCCTAGTAGGGAAATTTACATCCATGTAAACTCCATCCATATCCTTTTATAAAACCCGCAAACGCCGTGCCCAAATGAAATGCAGAATATATCACTAATCCCAACCCACTTCGATGTCATGGCTCATTCGGGCTGCGTGAATGTCAGCTATCGGTTTGAGGATCGACAAAGTAGTGGAGTGAATGATATGGCAACTCACCCTGATCCTTCCTTTCATCTTCTTGATTTCCTCAAGCTTCTTCTTGTCCTCCTCGAACTTCTTCAGCAGCTCGTTCTGCCTCTCCTTTTTCTTCTCCCGCGTCTGGAACCGATAGAAGTCCTCCAGACCGGCCTCGCGCTTCTTCTGCTTCTCGATGAGCTCCTTGATCTCTTCTTCCCGCGCAATGCTATTATTCTTGGGTCCTCGTGTAACAGTGATAAAGCCGTCTTCGTCCGGCTCCTGCGCTTTGCGGGCTAATTCGCGGGCGCGCGCCTCTTCGGCTTGCGTGAAGATCGCCATGTAGTCGTTCACGATGCGGAGGAGTTCGTCACGCGGAGGATAGCGGAGGGAATTGTGTGTCTTGTATCGCTTGACCCCCAGGGGAGGGACTCGATCCTCGATACCCTCGCCCCAAACTATTGTGGTGCCGTTCTTCGCGGCCTTTTTGGCAGCCTTCAAGCTCATTTCCATCGCAGGCTTGTCGACGAAGACGACCACAGCATGAGAACCGCTCACATGCAATTGTCTATCCCATGTTGATGGGAGATTTATCTCTTCTAACTGATTTTGCAACTCATCTGCGGTGACTCGCTTTCTCTTTTTCGTACTGCCGACCGGTTTCGCAGCAGGTTTAATTGGTTGCTGCTTTGTAGGTACGCCCTCGAACTCAACTCTCTCGACTCGCCCTGCTGATAATTGCACAGCAAACAGATGCCGCAGGTGGGCTTCGGTGGTGTCTATCGGGAGGTTGACGAGGAAAAGGGAACGGGCAGCATCGGGATCCGGATTTCGGGGTTCATGTGGATGGAGGTACAAGTGATGCGTTGCGGGCTTGGGGAGGGAGGCAACCGGTGGGAATTGCAGAGGAAGGACCGTATATCCCGATATCTCAAGGACCTTTTTCGGCATGGTGGCGACAAGATGGAGATGACGAATATATACTGAAGGATACGGCGTGGGCAAGAATAAATTATTTCGGCGCGCGGAAGTTGCATCGTCCAAGGAAATTTTACGCGAGGCCGGGTGGGCCGCTGACGGCGGGCAACTTCTGCCCACTGCAACGCTCATCCATTCATTCTTAAAACTACAGTACAGCTGGAATATGAGCACTGTGGAATTGATAATGAAAATAACCGCCAGGGAGGCCGTTTACAGTGTCTTTCCCACACGTCTTGCCTCTCTAAGGCCTCTGCACGTGACTGGACACTCTCCATCCTGCCAAGCCTTTGTTTGGGCAGATTGCCTCTTGTCCCTTTCTCCAGGAATAATACTCTATATACTACTCGGGAGTATGATGTTAGTACTTCTACAGACTAGGGCTTTGCCCACCACCCAAGACAAAGCGGGTTCTTTATGCCTACCTAGGGATAAAGATGCGGGATCTCACAATGAATTCAATTCTATTTCGTGTCAAATTTGGATATTTCCAAAACCCTATCAAATCACTTAGATTGATGGCACATGCTCAGTACAATAATGATACAACAGCTATTTGCTTCAAATAATATATGGATAGGTCCTTCTGTTTACAACCTCGACTAGCCTGGTTGTCAGGATGTTAATAAATTGATTACCAATAAGGATACCTCTTACCATTCTCGCCAGTTTGACTTAGTATATGCATATGTGCTTTGCCTGCCTCAAGCAAGACCTGCTTGCTGCCCTTCGTCCCCGAGATATCTTACGACTTTGATCGAGAACTGGTAGGGACTCCTCCCATAATGACGCTTAACAAATGTCGGACAGAAATTGCACTTCCATTCATCTTTGGGGCATACGGCGAAAGTATACCTCAGAACATTATCGTAGGGACAGCAAAATATCTTTGGTTTTCGTCGATGTCGCCACCATCTCTCTACCTGGGTCCGATATCGTACTGTGTTTCGATCAGGAGCTGACCGAGTTCGGGGACGGGAACGATCTTGATCCGGACCACATATAGATACTCTGTTATTGAGCATTCATGCCAGATATGATGCTTGGTACTGGGGTCGTTCTTCTTCAGCGAGTCGATCAGCCGACGGCTGTCACGAAACGTCAATCGAATACAAGGACAGAGCTCCACGATGCCCGCATAAAGCATGCAACTCCTTGACGTCGGTGGTGTTTTCCGTGCATAGGATTGAAGTTCAGAAACACGGTATAGCTTTAGACATCGAGAACAATAAAGCCAGCGGCGATCTTCTAGCTGGAGGAGGAGGTCCCATCGGGCAGTGGTCGACCTGTTGCAATATGGTTCCTTGTCCCCCTCATAACGGAAGCTGATCCATGGGAAATGGAATTCCTCGTCGCTCAGCACCGAATTGAACAGCTGAAAGAAAGTCTTGCAACTTAGAGCAAGGCAAGTCTGGGAGGCCAGTGGAAGCAGCGATTGGATCTGAAACAGAACTTCGTTTGGCAGTTTAAATATCCATGGCCGTTTGGGTCTGAAAAGTCTGAAAAACAGCGGTCGTTTGGGTCCCCGGAAAGGAAGCGTCCAGAAAAAGTCTGCAGCATGGGAAGGCTTTTTTCTCCTCTCAGCGGCGGCGGGTCTGGCGTCTTTGATGAGGTGGTCTTCGTCGTTAGATACCTTCGCTGTTAGAGTTGAATCCGTGGACCGACTAGAAGAGAAGAGGCCGGTTATCTTGTAGATGAGGTGCAAAAACATAATTACTGCGCTGCGATATTCCGGTTCTCTTCAGTGCGGTAAACGGGTCTAGATCGATGGATCTGATCAATCAAGGACGAGACTGGAGTTAGCAACAATATAGATTATTATTTTTTTCAGTCCTGACGACAGGACTTTGTCATCAACTAGACGACGTGTATGATATCAACCTGATCAGAGTCCGATCCACGGTTTCATGGTACTTCGGTACCTCGTTTGTTTGGCCCGGTGCCTGAAGGGACTGTGAGAGGCATCCATGAATCAGAACATACCTAGGTAACTGTTACAAAACGGGCCAAGGCATTATTCAACTATAAGCCAGCTGTTACTTATGTATTGTATATGTGGACATATACAAAGAACACCGAAAATTTCTGACAGGTTCCGCATATCAAGTCCAACATAACTAGGTCCTGATATCAAAGACTTCAATGAAGCCAAGGAGGCAAGCAACACAAATCTTGAACGATGCTGACCGGGTTGAGAGCTTACACTGCGATCAGCCTGGCTGGACAACTGAAAATGGCGCAGATGCTGCGAGTTGAGAGCAAGCATGTCAGTTTGGTGCACAACCAATCCAGCAAGAGACTATCGATATTGCCCAATGAGGCACGAGGCTCGACGAGGCGATTCTGTATGCTGCATGGACGTGCATCCAGCCTCGTGTCAGCTGCGCCTCTGATTGCCCCGCACACAGCATCTTGCACCATTCGAATCTCCCAGTCGGTAAATTGCCGCTGACAAGTCTGTCGCCAGCTTATTCCCCATCATCATGGCCCTATCACTGCGCCGCAGTACTGGACGGCATGGCACATCCACAATTATGATAGGTTCTCCTCCTCCCAATTGGTCTTGCAGTGGCCAAGGACATGCGGGAAATGTCCAGGCTCTTGCATACTCGGCCTGCATCTCTGTGGGCAACTTGCAAGGCGACAATCAGGCATGTGTCTGAAGTCGTACGCCTGATCTGAGGGTCAGACAACTCACAGAAAGGCCTAGAAAGCAGTTCACATTTCTCAGACTACCCCAGATGAAGATTCTGCGGTGGCCATGTCTAGAGGAAGGGGTCGATGTCTTTTCACACATCAAGATGGGAACGCCTTCTGACCAGCTCCAAGGTCCGCAATATGCAACCCTCAACGCGTTGGGAACAGTGCTGGGCTACATCGGCGCCGAGGCTGCGACATCCGATATTTTCGAGCGCCTTCTTTGGCCTCAGCGCTTCTATTCCAGTTTTAGTCCGCATTGTTTCTTGAAGCTAGGCCTTTTGCTGCCGATGGGCGGGCCCTTACACAAAGCCAGTCTCAAGGTTCTTGATACAGCGTTTGCGCATGGACTATTCCGGGGAAGCACCAGGGCCATACGTTGGGCACTGCGTTTTTCAAGTCCGAGCCGTGCACGTACACCATGCATCGCAATAGCACGCATCCTGATCTCTCGCAGGGTGATGGCGAGCCGGTGCGGAACAACCTCTGGGTTCGTGCAGTCACCCAGCTGTCCGTTGGGGAAAAGGACTTTGCAGTCTCGGTTTCAGGAGACGCGGAGGAGGCTTCGGCGCGTCTTCGTGCGAAGATCTATGTGGCGCACTTGCGTCTGTCTGTAATTCCGAGCAGCTCCTCGCTGCCCCCGGGGATTCCCCTCGTGGCAGAAGAGACAGAAGAGCCGGGTCCCCGAGTCTACCTGGCGATCTTGACGTCCGAGTTGTCGGCGATTGTCACAGCAGCTATCGTGGCATTTGCACTTCAGTCCTGGTTCGCGATCCTCTTTCTCTGCCCATTGCTTCTTCGACTCCTCAGCACGGGTCTGGCGCTGAGGCGAGAACCCCTCTATCCCATTCAGGGAATGGAAGACGAAGAAGAAGACTTTGAGATTCACCTTCCCCTAGGGAGTGGAAACTTCATGCTCATCACAGGCCCTCCAGCTCTCGTACAGCAATTCTGCACCCACTACAGCCACCCCATCCGTGTGCGAATCTGAGAGATCATCCTGCTGTCGATCATCGTCGCCTTTGGATGTCTCTTCCCAGCGGGTCTTTTGTGTTCGGTGATCTGGATGCCCATGTCGGTGCAGTACACGTGGGCTCTGTACCAGACTTTTACAGTGCTGGTTACTTATATTGCGCGATACACGAATGCTAGCAACTGGGCATCGACCGAGGAGAGGATCGCGTCTGCGCTTGGGGATGAATCTACTGGTCGGAGACTGTTCTTCCGTGGTGGTGGAAAGAAAACTTCTTCCTCCTTGCTGGTCGATGCCCGTCTCGACCTAACCTTTCATTCTCGGTACCGGGAGGGACAGGCACATATGCGATGCTTGCTCAATCACCGGCGCCAGAAGTACGAAGAGTCAAAAACAGATGAAGACACGGACGCGGACACGGAAAGCATTGCAACAGGTAAATGACGGACTTGACTCATCGCCAATCCAAGCGTGTCTGTCTTTCTCTTGAACTGAAACACCAACATGCGGTCATGAGAGTTGAACACAGTTACTCTTTTATTTATTTATTTTTATTTATTTTTGTTTCTATTTTTTCTTGTCTTCCGATTTTATGCCTCAAATGTACGCATATACATATTGACCACATCTCTATTCTTTTGTAAAAAGCTTAAAGAAGCCACATAGCCAGCAGTGCAGTAAATCGCTAAGCAAGCTAAACTGAGGGGGAATCAGTAGTCAAGAATTCTTGAGATACAGTACAATATTCAAGTTCACTGACTAGAAACCTTTTCAACCTGCTCCCTCATCGCTGTATTACTATAGGTTTATATGAATTCTAGTACTACCAAATCTAGTGGATTAATAAATCCACGCAGGCGTTAACACGTGTCCAAGGCTGATTTGGGTTATTCAGGCTGAGACTATCTCAAAAGGTACCTACCATTGTATGTACATTACTGTAAAATCACTCCATGATATATGCGAGCAAAATGCAGTCCTATTCTTGAACTTCCCTCCTTCATGCAGGCTAAATAAATAGCGTATTTATTCATACGTTACGGATTGAATGGCCTGGCCAGGATCTGACACTGGACCTTTCGGATGGATGTAGTAACCGCCGAGTCAGTAAGCGAAAGACCCAGGCGACTGTTACACATTCCTTCGATGACCTCTGTTCCCTGGGAGGCAGCTATCCGCCAAAGCACAGAGCCTGTGTACAACGTCTTGAGCTATACTTGGGGTCGCTTCACAACCGACGGCCCCGCCCTCGACCTGGATGGCATTTCATGGAAGGTCCCGGGCATCCAGCCGGCTCATTTCACGACCGAGGAATTCAAGCACGTCCTTGAATCCATCGCAGCGCCATCGGGTTATGTGTGGGTGGATGTGGCATGCATCGATCAAGACAACCTCGCGGTCAAGATGGACGAAATCGGCAAACAAGCCGATATCTTCAGAGGAGCGCATAAGGCTTTCATCTGGCTAACTCGCCATAGCGCGGCATCGTTAGGAGATACGATCGAAACCCTGAACGCATTTCTGGACCAGCTTCTCGCAGTTGACGTCGAAGGTTCCAATTTCCTATATGACGGTGAACAGGTTCGACGTGTACTCGAGAACGGTCTCCACGAGGCTCTGGATGCGGTTCAAAGGTTGCTCGTGGATCCCTGGTTCACATCACTGTGGGCGTTGCAAGAGGCCTACCTCCGTGAGGATGCTGTCTTGCTTCCACGTTCAGGAGAGGAGGTATTCGTACCAAGTCAGACTGTTCCCCTGGCATTGAGGAACATCAGTGGAGTATTTCAAGATATCATGATCCGGACTGTGGGTTATGCTTCCATATCGGAGACTGCGCGAGACCTACTAACCCTCTTTGAACGCTCGGGACTCGTGAACATCAACCTCGGGATGAACGTCCCATTGCTGATATACCCTGCAGCGCATTTCAGAGTCTGCGAAAATGAGCTCGACAGAGTCTATGCGATTATGCAGGTGTACAGGCTTCGCCTAGGGGCGTCACGACACCCTGAACGGTTCTTCACATTGGATCAGCTAGAAGACCAATTGGCAATGTCCTTGAACGCAATTTCCCCAATGGCTGCTCAACTATTTATTCATCGATGCGCCCCAAGTGAAGGCAAGGCATGAAGGATCACCAAGAACTGTGCCCTGCCTAGCATCTATTACATCACTGCTGAAATAGAAAGCAGCTGCACAATATCCTCTCGAGACGGGCAGATTCCTCTTTACACTGGCAAACAGTGCCCACTACACACTCTGCTTGGATTCTGGAAGGCGGCAATGCGGCAGTGCGAGGAGCGACGGTCATGGATCGGCCGATATCCATCCTATATTTGGAGACACTATCAAATGAACCTTGACCTCGATGCAGGGCACATCGATGCCGAAGAGCGCATCGGCTTTTGGCGCCTGGTGAATGAACCTTTGGACTCTTGTTCTTGTCCATCATGCAAACAGCGTTGTCTCGCACCGGGCAAGTACAAGTACGGACTTGACAAGCTCACCGAGCTTCGTGCCTTTACCGGTGGCACAGTACTCCGTGCTATACCTGGGTGCAACAACGTTGTACAATCCTACCGGAGGATTGTCAGGTTACATAGTATCAGCGCATCTTGGTATTCTTGGGATAGTCGAGCAGTCTCGCGGAGGAGGGCCATTCTGGCGGAGAGTTGGGATTTGCTCCTGGGAGGCAGCCGAGGCAGAATTAAAAGTAACGCAGGAGGATATATGGCAGTCCTGTGAATACTATTTATCGTAGGACATCCCTTTCAGAAAGTCATGATCATAAATATATTACCCATCAATGCTTTTGGTAATATTGAGAAATACACAGACGCCAGTGAGGTTTTCTTTTTTTTTTCAATATTTTCCGTTATAAATATGCTAGGTAATTAAGAGTGTAAAGAGCGTCATTTCCCCTGACTGACAGACTATGTAAAGATAGGTAGGTAGTCTCCATTCCTCGCGTCAACTCTATTATTGCAGTGACAACCACGACCTTCCCGATACAGAAATGATAATTAGCTACCTACCTAACCTAGCAGACAAGGTCTAGGAAAGAATCTCTGAACAGACGCACATACTGAGCGTTGGTTGATCTTCACCAGACATTCTTGACGAGTCCGAGTTTAGTCTTGGGAGATTATTTGACCACGCATGCCCTTACTTAAAGCTTTGGATCTTGAAAACTTCAGATCTCAAAAGTTTAGGTTCTACAGCGGATGGTCCCGTGACTACCTAGGTAGCTATCGGGAGATGTGAAGTTGCGTCCTTCCGGATTAGCGCGCGCGGCCCGCTGCTTTTGCCTCACCTCAGGCTCATCGGGTTATGAATTAAATCAACCATTCTTATAGGTAGAGAGACAGTATAACTATAGGTCTATAATATAATAATTCTTAACTTCCTTTCAATTTCTCATTTCTCTTTTATTGTTCTTTTGTCTGGTTTCAAATTTATGCCTAAGCCTGCCTAAAACCTTCGATTAGTCGTCCTGGATAAGACAAAGATTAATTTATTTCTTCTTGCTTTTCTTCCTGACTTAATATATAACTACCAGTAAGACAGGTGATTCGTGACCCGGCTAAGAGTTACTTAAGGGGGCTGCGGTAAGATAATATCACTATACTCCTTAAATTTAAATTCTGCTTTAGTAGAAAGTATTCTCCAGAGTTACGGATTTCTGTAGATACCTATTCCTCGGCAGTTTTTAATATGCCCGTCTTATTAGCCAATGCCGAGATACGTTACTGGTCCATCTACCTCAGATAAGGGATGCACATAGTGCTTTGTATGAGTATTAGGGTTACTATATGCTATAAACTTCATCTGGGCCGTTAGCAAATAATGTTTATCTATCCATTATTAGTATATAGCCAGAGTATAGCATTAAGATATTTACCTGCTTCTATCAGAGCCTATTATTACTAATAAGCGCGAGTAGTAATATTCTTAATATAGCCGCTGTAATAGCCAAGGTTCATAAACACCTTACTAAAAGCATCTGTTCCTTAAGCCCTTCTAGAAATATTCTCTATTAACTGCTTATTAAACAGCCGCAGTATTGGGACCTTAAGGATCTCCTCCTTAAAGTAGGTGACATATAATACCTCATCGTTGTTACGCGCTGGGTCCAACCGTAGTCGTCGATACTTAACAATGGTGGTAGATGCCTGTACAGAGGAGGATATAGCTAGGGAGGCCTCATGGATCCAAGAATCTATGACAGCAGTCCTAAACCAGTTCGCCAAACCAATACGGGTATGCTCTTGTTCAAAGCGTTGGTGGCAAGCAGAGGTCAAGCTGGCCCGGGGGACATATACCCAGGCAAGGCGGGCATGGCAGACAGGGACCTTAGGGGATAGGGAACATCGAGAAGCCCGGAACACCTACTACAGAGCCATACGGCGAGCAAAGCGGGAATGCTGGGAAGCCTTTTTAATAGGGCCCATGGAAACTGGGGACCTCCTGGGCCCAGAGGATGCCACCCGATGCTGGCAGGCCCTCCGGTATACTACCCCGAAGGCTGCAAGTACGACCCCTACCCTCCGGGGTGTTATGAGCCAACAGGAGATAACGCTGTCCAACACAGCAATGCAGGATGAAACAATTACCCCGCAAGGCAGCAATAGGGCGAACTCCAGATCACGTGACAAGAATGAACATTGAGGATCACGAGGAATGGTATACAGGATGGTATACGAATGGTATACGAAATGGCATACGAACGAAGGGAACGGTATACCATAAGGAGTACCGAAAGAGGAACCAAAGGGGGCCGAAGGAAGACTGGAAGAAACATAAATAAGGACAATTATACTCATGTATCTAGCCTTTCCTTACTCGCGC